AGCAGGAGGGGAGATGAAGTTGAAAATGGCTGAGCTCTGGAGGCCTCTTCCCACCTAGCACCTGCTGTAGGCTGACCTTGACTTTTTAGTGGTTGTAGGGAGACTACTCCTGGGAGCTGATGAACCCTCTGTTGAGGAAGGGCTGCAGAGTGCCCTCTCTGGCCTTCCACCATTCTTTCTCTTCTGGGAGCCGGCTTTCCCAGCATGCCTCTGGTCAGTGTCTTCTTCCCCTCTTGATTCTCTTGTCCTGCTGGATGTCCATGGTTATGGTTTGGGGATAATAAGCCCAATCCAGGGAGTTCTAACCCATGTTATAACAGGGCCAACTTGTTATCACATCTACCCTGTGCTTTACCAAGGAGGAAGCTGACATGGAGACATGTATTTTCTTTTCTTTCTTTTTTAGAAATTGCTTTTCTTGAAGACAGCAGGACTTTTTGCTTTATTTTGTTCCTGGTTCCCTCCTTTGGGCCCTGGATAGTGGCCATGACCCCAGATGTAGCTTAGATGGACACAGGCAGCTCCCTGGATCAACCCTGAAGGGAGCTGCATCATGGCTAACCAGAGCCTGCTTTTCCAATCTCCCCTTCTGTTCTTCTCCACTGTGATTCAGGCCCCAGAGCCTCTTGCTCATTCCCCTGCCCTACTTAAGCTCTCTGGAAGGGGTTGTCTTTCAGCCAGATTTCTGAGATTCTAGAAGGCTCTGAGAAAGCCCAGCCTCTCCAGCTGGAGAGCAAACAGGAGCCAAACTGGCTGGAGGCCTGGCAGGCTGGACTGATAAGAATGCTTCATCTCTTGGTAAAACTCAGGGAGCATGGTGGCTCTATGACCCCAAGGAGGGAGGCTGCAGCCTCAGAGAGCAGCCATTGCTGTAGAGAAAGGGGCACACGGGACCCATGAGAAGAGCCTCCCAAGCACTGACACACACACACACACACACACACACACACACACACACACACACACACACACACACACACACTGCACAGAGAAAGAACCGGAGGCCCAGAGTGAAATCACACAGCTTATCTTCAGATTGGTTTCTATTGTAGCTGTTCTATTTCAGGTCCATCCTGCTGGCGAGTTGACAGCAGAGCTACTTAAAATGCCTGTCTGAAGCGGAGGCTTAGCCTCCCTTTGAGGGTGAAGCCAATTCCCTCCTCAGCTGTGTCCCCAGACACGGAGCACGCAGCACGTAGTGTCCGAGCTCACGAGGCCATCTGATTCTTTATCAGTGCCTGTGCATGTGGAAGGCGGGTGGACGTGGTTTTAGATCCCCACGCTGTCTGTATGACCGAGGGAGGCTCAGAGCAATGAGCCCACATTGACACTGGACATCTTTAGTTTATTTTTTTATAATCCTATCTATAGTCCTACATTTAAAAGTCAAGTAACATTCAATATGTAAAAATTTAAACATATCAAAAAAAAATAACAGGGAAAAGTCACCTAAAATCCTGTTATAGAGATATTAGGTTGAGCTATATGTAGCTATCATGCTTATAGGTCAAAATAGGTGAATATCAGCAATTTCGTGTGGTTTTTTCCTGCTATTTTGGATATTTCCTTCCCAACATAGTCTGTTCCTTAAAAATGTATTTGAGATTGTATTGTATATTCAAGTTAAAGCCTAACTTTCACCCATAAGACATTATACTGTAATCTCTTCCCCATGCAATTAAAAAGTTTCTCTAAACACTTTTTAATGGTTACATAATATTCTGTCATTTTGGAATACCAAGGCCATTGCCACCGTCTCTGGCTTCTTGTCCAATGTCCTAAGCTAAGAAAGAAAGCCTTGTGTTGAATGCTGCTCTGGTCAGGCAAGGGCTGGGCTCGACTCCCAGCAGAGCCTGGGGCAGGGAGCTCTGGTGACAGCAGCATCTGCCAGAAGGCGTCTGGCCTTGTCTCTCCTCCGGATATGTGCTGAGTGCAGACAGAATGGGGGTGGAAAATTTGCCCATGAGGCTGGGCAGAATGTGGGGTAGGGCACACTCCTTTGCCAAGGACCAAAATAGGGTCTAGAGAGGCATCCTGCTCTAGCCTTCTCTTGCTCAGAAAAGATGATGCTAAATGACCAGGCATTTCAGCTAGTGGCACATCTCCAGTCTTCATGGCAGCTGAACTGAGTGTGCTGGTGAAACTGAGTCCTTCCCAAAGTGCTCTCTGTGCTGTGGGCTCCCGAAGGTCAGCTTCAGGGTCAGCACAGGTCCTGCTTGGTGCTCTGTGGATGAGACAGAGATGGTAAACTTTAGCATGCTCCAGGCAAAGTCTGTCACTCAGCAGCTTTCTTGGGGAAAAATGGGAGAGAAATACTGTTTACCTCAAAGGGCTGCTAGTGTTGAGCTCACTGTATACCTACAGATGACTTGGAACTTCTGGCCCTCCTGCCTCTGCCTCTGCTAGTGTTGAGCTCACTGTATACCTACAGATGACTTGGAACTTCTGGCCCTCCTGCCCCTGCCTCCTCAGGGCTGGGATTACAAGCATGTACCAGTATGCCCAGTTTTATGCCATACTAGGGATGAGGACCCAGAGCTTTGTGTATACTAGTCAAGTGTTCTACCACCCAGGCCACACCCCTAACCCCTTAAATAGGTTCTTATACTGAATTATCTAATACAGTACCTGGCCAGAACTCCATCCCTTAATTTTATTTTCTTAAGAGATAGGTCTCATTATGTTGCCCAGTCTGACACCAAGCTTGAGTTTAAGCTATCCTCGTGCCTCAGCCTTCAGAGGAGTTGGCAGCATGGGCACACTGCTTAATGTTAGTCCTTGATTCCTTCCTTCCTCCCCACTCCTTTCAAACAGGCTGAGTTCAGGAAAGAGATAGCTATTGATCATGCGGTTGAAAATAGTTGGCACGTGTTGAGCATTGCCATTCTTCACTCATTCATTCATTTATTCAGTGAGGACTTAGCTAGAGCCAGCGGTGTGCCAGGCACTTTCTCCTCACTGGGAGGCAGCAGGGAAGGGAGGCAAGCCTTTGCCCTCCTGGAGAATGCACTGTAGATGGGGAAGGCAGACAGCTGATGGAAATCAACAGTAAGGATATAGCTTGACAAGCAGAGATGCTTGGTAAGAGAAATCCCGCAGGGGAGGGTGGGTATGACCAGGATGGAGACCAGCTGGTGAGTGATGGGCACAGCCTAGTTGGGCTCAGCTACCAGTGCTTTCTAAAGCATCTTTGGTTGTGATAAGGATATATGGCAGTGATGTTCCTTCGCTGACTAAGGTTAGGAACTGGGAAGTGGGCAGGAGAGCAGAGGCCCTAGAGCAGCACACTCAACTCCTCTTCTTTTTTGGGCCAGTGCTGTGGGTGCACAGAGGGAAGATGGTGCTGGGCAGGGAGTGTCCACAGCCGTGAGCAGGTCCAGCATAGCCACAGAGTCTCTGTACCTAGGCAGAGTGCCCACACCTATGACACCGGCTCAGGTAGTATATGGCCTTCTCTGCACACTGCTGCGACTGAGCAGATTAAAGGAAACAGAGGCCTGGGGCGTGTGGATAACCAGCAGGGCCCAGTGGTCTCTTCCAAGCCTTGCTTCTGCTTGTGAGTGAACCTTCAGCCCTCTGGGCTGTGCTCTTGAATTTTGGGCAGAGTTTAGAGCTATGGCTACTCAGAGAGAGCAGATGTTTGTAAGTGCAACCCGAGGAAGCTGCAACAGGACCATGCTGGGCCTGTGGGGAGTGCTATGTATTGCATGTATGCTCATAGTCACAGACTCCGAGACAAACCACCTCTCTGATCACCTTCGTTTCTCCATTTTCTGTACCTTGACCTGGAGCCCATCCTTGCAGCTCTGTAGTTAAGTCTTTTGTCCCACTCAGAAAGGTACAGGCCATGGAAGAGGTGAGTGTTGTGTGCTAAGCCTGTTGTGAAGGAAGACAGTTGTGATGGTTAGTGTTATCAACCTGATGGACTCCAGAGTAAGCCCATCATTTTGGGCCTGCCTAAGGGAGATTACCATGACTATGCTAACTGTGGGTGTGGCTGGGATCCTGGACTATATGTGTGCTGAGTAGCAGCATGCATTCATCCTGTTCTGCTCTTTGTGGATTTGATGTGACCAATTGCCTCAAGCTCTTGCAGCTCTGACTTCGCGGGTATGGCGGCTAAGGTCTCACTGAGGTTGGGAAGACAGTATGTTGGGAGGACCTCCTTTATTTCATTCTGCTTAGTTTCTGTGGGTGGGTCCCTGGAGGGACTTGGACATTGGGAGCAGGTCTTTGTGAGAGACAGGTTGGAACCCTCTGAGGTAGTGGAGGCAGCAGTGATGGTCAGAGGAAATCTGACAAGTACACAGTATATCTTGAGCAAACCCTTTCCCCATGAAGTTGCATTTGTCAGAGATTTTATTATAGCAACAGGAAAAGAAACTAAGATAGCTAGCTTCTCTCCTGTGGACAGGGTATCCTGGAGCTGGGAAATGGTTACCCAATATGGGCTTCCTTAGAGAGGAATCTAACCTGTGGAGCCCAGTGCTATGCTTGGCATGTGAGACATGCTCAGCAAACACACGTAGAGTGACTCTAACTCAACCCTCATTTAATTTATTGAGGAAAAAAACTGGGCCTGGGAAGTGGAATAATGGAGCTAGCACCAGAACCTCCAGTTTCCTTGTTCTCTCACACAGTGTTCCCTAGCACAGTAGGTACTGAGTTTATGTGGGTTTCTCCTTTCTTTTCCTTGCCTGGTTCACACCTCTGCAGTTTCTCTTTCAGGGAATGACATGAGCTAAGATTACTTTCCACCGTGTACTCCTTCTCCAACCCCAACATTGATTTACCTTGCTGTAAGTAGGAAGGCCACAGAATTAAACTAAGAGATGACCAGAAGCCCTGGGTTAAGAAATTCATCTTTCTTAGTGTGTTGGTGACATTGGCAGGTCCCTTGAGGGTAGGATTCCAGATGAAGACATGTGCTGGGACCCCAGGATAGAGGGCAGAGACCCACGGGGATCCACTCTGAGCTCTGCCACCTCCCTCCCCGACAGTGGCAGATGAAATGCTGCAAGTGTGACTCCAGGCTGCCTCACAACTACAACAGTCACCGAGTGGAGAATGTTGCGTCCTCTTCAGGCCCCATGCGCTGGTGGCAGTCACAGAATGGTGAGGACCTGCCTCCTGCAGCAGCCCATGATTATGGAGGCTCCACAGGCTGGGGAATGTGGAGGTCTTTCAAGACAATTTGGGTTTCTGTGGGAAAAGGTGTGGGGGGTGGGCAGGCAGAGCCTTCTGGCTTTGTTTTGGGTTTGTTGGACGCTATAGGCAAAAGAGCTTGCTTAGGCTGGGGAGAAGGTGTGCTGGGAGAGCACCACATCCATTTCACTTTGCCTTGTCTCTGTGGGTGGTGCACGTGGGCCTTGGGCCTTGGATCAGTTCATTGATGGACTGATGATCTGAGGCATTATTTCAAAGTGATGGAAACTTTCAGGTGGGGTCTGGTTGGAAGAAGCAGGTCACTGGGGTCATACCCATGGGGCTCTGTCTGTCCTGTTTCTCTCCCTGTTGTGACAGACAGGCTGGGACCCTATGGGGTATCAGAGGTGTCAGTGATGATGGGCCATCACCATCCGACAAGGACACATTTGAATAAGTGACACAAGCAGGAACACACCCGGTCCACTCCTTTCCCGGAGGTGCCAGACTCAAGGCAGGAGATGTTCCGACTGCCCAGAGCTGGTGTTGTCAAGGCCTGCTTTGGGGGCATGGGGGAGAGCATCTTGTCTGATATTTCTCCTTCTTGTCCTTCCAGATGTGAACCCTGTCTCTCTGCAGCTGGACCTGGACAAGAGAATGCAGCTTCAGGATATCATGATGGATTTTAAGGTTTGCTTTTGGGAACCTCACGGGGTAGGGGAGGGACTTGGGTTGAGAAAGAACAGTGTTTTGTCTCCCTAGGCTGGGGTGATGGCACCATATGCCAGGGGTCCTCTTTCAGAGTAGGTACACTCACTATGATTTTACATCATTGTGACAACAGATGGCTGACCACCAGAAGAGGACCCCTTCCCAGCCCCCTGTCTTGGCCATGATGCAGCTACAGACCCTGTTCCTCTTTGCAGCTGACATCTTTAACCTGTCTAATAAATAGACTTTTCTCTGGCACATACCGGTTCTACGGGACTTGGTTGCTTTTTATGATTTTGATATGAAATGTCCCAGAAATAGCTCATGTGTTGATGGCTTGGTCCCCAGTGGGTGGTTCTAGTCATCAAGAGGTAATTGGATCATGAGGCCTCTGATGTAACCAGTGGATCAATTTATTGATGGACTGATGATCTGAGGCATTATTTCTAAGTGATGGAAACTTTCAGGCGGGGTCTGGTTGGAAGAAGCAGGTCCCTGGGGTCATACCCATGGGGCTCTGTCTGTCCTGTTTCTCTCCCTCTCTCCTCTCCTTGTCTTTTTGTCCATCTGTTCTATCCATTCCACAGTGTGCAGCCATATAATCCCGGCAGCAGGGAAGGAGGGCAGGGGCAGATGGATCCCCAGAGCTGATTGACCAGCAATTCTAGTTCAATCAATGAGCTCCAGATGCAACAATAATGCCTGTCTCAAAAAACAAGGTGAAGAAGTGTTGAGGAAGACATTGACCTCTAGCCTCCATTCACTCACATGTGCACACCCCACATGTGTGCACACACACAAACATGTACACATAAACCCATAAAAATAAGTAGAATATGCCAGGAATATAGGTCAGTGTGGTAAATGACTGTGTTAGTCAGGCTTCGTTGCTATGACAAAAACCTCTGAGGAACTAGTTTGAGGAGAAAGGATTTATTTTGGCTCAGGGTGTCAGAGGTTTTAACCCCTAATGGCTGCTCCCTTGACCGAGCTGAACCTGAACATCATGTCAGGGCGTGTGAGGTAGAGTGGAGGGGAGCAGATCACTAATGATGGAGAGAGACACTGGGCTAGGGATCTGAACTCAGGTCCTTAGCTTACACAGCAAGCATAGCTGTGTCCTCTCCCCAGGGATGGTGTACTCTACTTTAACAACTTTGAAGATGAGACCAAGTTTAACGAGTGGCCAAGAACTTACCTACCCACAGGAAGGACATACCCTGGCACATCTCTCTTGGTGAACAGTCTATCCCATCAGCACTATGGCCTCTCAAATTCTCCTTCCTGTCTTAGACTCAATGGTTTCATTCATTTGTGACAGGCCATTGTGCTCCCTGCCACCAGAGGATTTAATGACATTCTTTCTACAGAAATAGTCAAACATGAAAAGATAAAGTTTGGCTAATAAGATGAGATGAGCAGGAAAATCTATAAGACTTTTAAGAGTTGAGAGGAGTGTGAGGTGAAACACAACAGGACCCAGTTTCTTATCTGACTGAGAAAACTGGCTCTGAGAGCCCTGCCCTACAAAAGGTCAAAGTATTTTGAGAAACGCCAGCAGTGTTTGAACAGATGCCCAGTCCCTCAAGGTGACAGTTTTGAAAGGCAGTGTTAACTTGGATACTGTTAAATGCTTTCGCTGTTCTGCTGTTTCCCGTCCATGTATCAGGTCTGGCCACACACATACCAAACACTGACAATATGGTAGAATTGGTATGCGTCGTTAGGGATAGAAAGGGGTGTAAAATGAGTCACAATGAAGCTGCTCTTACTAAGTATATCAGAGGAGATTGAGTGAGGCGGGGCGGGGGACGGATGCAGTGGTGTTGGTGTTGATGAGCCTGGGAGGGGCATCTAGCTTGGCTAGCCTTGGGGGTGGGGTTGTCAGAGAATCCACCTTACAGCCATGTGAAGGGCACTTTCATTCCAGGCAAAGGCTCTTTCAAAACTTCAAAGCTAAAGCTAGGAGTGAGGAACAAGGAAACCTATATCTGGTGAGGGGACAAGAGACTCCTCGAAGTCTAGAGGGTGAATGTCTAGGACTGTGAGAAGGCTGTAAGCTACCACTCACTCAATGACGTGTACTCAGCACCCACTGTGCGCTAGATGCTGGGAAGATGGGAACCACGCGGGCAAGGGAAAGGGGGTAGTTCAGGGCACTGTTTCTCAACCCAAGTTAGCTCTGCTCTCCCCCTTCCCTAGGGACATATGGCAATTTTGGGGGACACTTTGGTGTCGCCGCTGTGGGTGTGGCCACAGCATCAGGTAGGCTGAGGTCAGGGATGCTGTTAAGTGTCCTGCAATTCACAGGGCAGCCTGATGGTTCCTTTGTCCAACCCCGAATAGCAACTAACTGTGTTGAAGCTGAGAAATCCTGCCTAGAAAGCAGAGAACTGACTAGTAAATAATTAGAATGGTGGTGCTATTTCTAAGGGAAGCCAGATGGCAGACTAGGAGAAGTGCCATGGGCTGGGCAGGAGAATGCAAGTTAGATAGGTGTAAAAGAATCTCCATGCAGAAGTAACATTTAGACTTCCAACAAAAGATGAGAAGGAACCTACAGGGGAGGGATGCTCCAAGCAGGAGACAGGTGGGAAGGCTGAGGAGGGGTGTGCTCACTGAGATGGGGGCCAGTGAGGGCCAAGCCTTTGCACACAAGGCCAGGTCAGATTTTAAGAAGGGCGGGTGTGTTGGTCAGTGTTCTGTCGCTGTGACAGATACCGGAGATGAAGAACTTAACAGAAGGAAGGGGATGTTTTGGCTCACAGGTGCAGAGGTTTCAGTCCATGCTCCCTTGGTCTTGTTGCTTTGGGGCCCATGGAGAAGCTAAGCATCATGGCAGGGAGTGGCAGAGCAGAGCTTCTCATCTCCTGGTGGCTGGGGTGGGGGTAGGGTGCTGATTACCGTCTTGGAAAGAAGGATTTGTCCCTGACACTTTCCACAGTCCTTGCTCTTGCTGGCCCACCTGTCCCTCCTCTCTCCAGGAGCCTCCTTCTGCAATTGTGTCCCCCACGGAACACTGCCAGTGCCTCTTCCCCTCAGTCACTCAACGCTACTCCACATCCCTGCCCTGTGTCTCCCCAGAGTCCCATGCCAGCTGGCATGTTGATCGAGCGCTCCTCTGACTTTGGCAAGACCTGGAGAGTGTACCAGTACCTAGCTACAGATTGCGCCAGCACCTTTCCCCAGGTCCACCAGGGCCAGCCCAAGACCTGGCAGGATGTCCGGTGCCAGCCCCTGCCCCAGAGGCCTAATGGACGTCTAACTGGGGGAAAGGTAGGTATAGGGAGCCTGACCCAGCAGGCGGAGGGAGGAAGCCCACGTCTCCTAGTCAAACAGTGAGAACAGGCCAGATCAGATCATTTTGCTGGGATCTTTCAGAAACATCTTGAGGCTTCTACTGCATCATCCATCCTGACTTTCCTAGCTTCCTCCCAGAGGGGTCATGGCTACATCCCCCTGTGGAGTTTGTTGTGAGGACTTCTGGATGGCTGCTTACACATAAATGAGCAAAGAACACACGAAATTTCACTTTCACAGGATTTACCACAAATATCAATTTTTTGGTTTAATCTATCGGTCTGCCAGACCTAGTCCTTGGAGGGAGATTCAAGAGTAACCCAGAGATCTGAAGGCATCTGCATTGAAAATGACAACCTGCCTCTAGGAACACCCGGAATTTTCTCTCAGAATCTTTCCTGTATAGTCACTCTCTTCCCCAAAGCATATCCCACTCCATATGAAAGAAGCTGGAGCTTCCCCTCCCCTTGGAGAAGCAGCTCTGGGGACAGACAGGCTGAGTGCTGCCCCCATGTGGCCACGGATCTCCTTGTGTCCACCTACCAGCTGGGGGGTTAAATCTTTACCCAACCCCTGTGTCCACTAGTTCCTAGCCCTGAGCAGAGCCAAGCTTCTTCCTTATTTGTAAGGGGTTGGGATGAAAACTTGGTGGGATATGCCTGGAAGTCACATGTGGTGAGAGGGTTGTAGAATAAATAAAAGCCTACTCAAAACGGATGGTGATCAGGGTGGCCAGCACGGAGTGCTCACTTAACCCACATCTATCCAGTCACATCTTAACATCTCCAATGCATGAAAATGCCAGACAAAACCCACCATCATGTATACTAAAGTTTAAAAAAAGTAGCAATAGAGCCGGGCGGTGGTGGCGCACGCCTTTAATCCCAGCACTCGGGAGGCAGAGCCAGGTGGATCTCTGTGAGTTCGAGGCCAGCCTGGGCTACCAAGTGAGTTCCAGGAAAAGGCGTAAAGCTACACAGAGAAACCCTGTCTCGAAAAACCAAAAAAGAAAAAAAAAAAGTAACAATAGGGCTGTGAGATGGCTCAGTGAGTAAAGAGCGTGCCGTGCAAGCCTGATGCCGTGAGTTTGATCCCCAGAACCCATGTAGAGGTAGAAGGAGAAGCATGCCATTGTAGATAGAGTTTTCCTGCCTGGCCCACAGTCAGGGCAAATCTCTCTCACCTGCCAGTCCCACAGCCGTCAGACCCGACCAAGTAAACACAGAGACTTGTATTGGTTTCAAACTGTATGGCCATGGCAGGCTTCTTGCTAACTGTTCTTTCAGCTTAAATTAATCCATTTTTATAAATCTATACCTTGCCACATGGCTCGTGGCTTACCGGCATCTTCACATGCTGTTTCTCATCTTGGCGGCTGGCAGTGTCTCTCTGACTCAGCCTTCCACTTCCCAGCTTTATTCTCCTCCTTGTCCCGCCTACACTTCCTGCCTAGCCAATGGCCAATCAGTGTTTTAATTATTGACTAATCAGCAACACATTTGACATACAGAACATCCCACAGCACTTCCCCCCTTTTTTTTTAAAAAAAAAAAGGAAGGTTTTAACCTTAACAAAGTAAAATTACATATAATTTGGGAATTTGGGCGTAGCTTCTCTTACTACTTCCTGCTGGAGGGGGGCGCTGTATCTTATGGGGATACAAAGAAAATTTTAGGATCATGGAAAAGTCCATGAGGGTGTATCGTCTGAGCCAGTTGCCTTCAAACCATTCTGGATGTTGGATCATCTGGGCCATGGTGTCATCGGAGACCTTTCAGGGGGTCTTGGCTGGTCAAACCTGATGTGTCTTAATCTGGAACAAATCCATAGCCTTTGGCTTTCTGTGGGAACAAAAGCAGAGTCTCCTTTCCAAAGTAACATATCCTTATATTCAAATTTTGAAGTCAAGATACCTTTAAAATATACATTTTGGCATAACTCAACAGCTTTTACAATCAAATATTTTTCTGCAGTTAAAAGTCCCAAAGACAACACAATGCAGATTCTCTGTGTAATATCCATTTTTACGTGGCTTATTTTTTATACTACCTTTACTGTCTCTTTAAAGACTTTATTTTTTAAAACTATGTATTTATTTCTATAACTCTATATATCATCTTTTTTGTCTCTTTCAAGCCTACGTATCTTTTACACACATTGTAAACTATTACATCTGAATCTGTCTTATTGTGAATCTATTGCCTTAAACTGCAGCAGCTGTGGCTGCTGGATCCACCCACCTCAGCTTCCCAACATGGCCATGGTTTACCGCCAGCTCTGGGAGCTATCGGGGGTCTATGCTTTTAGCCAAGCAGCGTGTAGCCCAGAAACCTCTTTTTTTTGTTGTTTTGCACTAGCAAAGGCTAAATCCACCATGCAGCTTAATGTGCCACTTGCAGAGGCCTCATTCCCGCCATACTGCAGGTCAAGCTCGCACACTGAGAACCCACCAGTAGCTCAAACCAGCAGCTGCTGCTCATTTGGGAGAGACAATTAGGAAGCTGTTTTTGGCTCCGTTTTAGAATCTTTTTTCTCAGTTTTTAGGTGGAAACTCGTGCCACCACGTTGGACGCCATTTGTAGCTGGAGTTTTCCTGCCTGGCCCACAGTCAGGGCAAATCTCTCTCACCTGCCAGTCCCACAGCCGTCAGACCCGACCAAGTAAACACAGAGACTTGTATTGGTTTCAAACTGTATGGCCATGGCAGGCTTCTTGCTAACTGTTCTTTCAGCTTAAATTAATCCATTTTTATAAATCTATACCTTGCCACATGGCTCGTGGCTTACCGGCATCTTCACATGCTGTTTCTCATCTTGGCGGCTGGCAGTGTCTCTCTGACTCAGCCTTCCACTTCCCAGCTTTATTCTCCTCCTTGTCCCGCCTACACTTCCTGCCTAGCCAATGGCCAATCAGTGTTTTAATTATTGACTAATCAGCAACACATTTGACATACAGAACATCCCACAGCATGCCATGGTACATCGTGTGCTTCCCCACACACCATAGTCACACAGCAATATTAAAGAAAAAAATTAAAACTGATAATGAAATAGTATCATCAAAGCCCTTCTCTGTAGTAGATGATATAGCAGGTAGACCTGCATTTTCCAACACATACACACACACACACACACACACACACACACACACACACACACACACACACCTGTGCATGCTCTTTTAGGATCCAGTGGTCATCTACTGTCCCTGAACAGGTGCCCACGGTCTGTCTTAGGTTCCCAGTGAGAAGGGGTATAAGGAGAATGAGGACGGGAGGGAAGGAAGGTGTCTGAGCTTGGTGCACGCTTCCGTCCTCTGCACTTCTGACCTTTCTTCTCTCTGAGCAGGTCCAGCTTAACCTTATGGATTTAGCATCAGGTATCCCTGCATCTCAAAGTAGAAAAATTCAAGGTTGGTTTGACTCTTCTCCCTCTTTCCCATGGGACTGTTAGTAGGGGCATGAAGCAGCTTGGGACCCAGGTCATGGAAATTTCCAGTTCCTTCCTACTTATGCAGTGTGGTTGGGAAGTAGTGCTTGCTTGCCCCACTCGTCCTCCAGGAATGTGTAGCATGGTGTGGGAGGGCTGAGGGCTGGAAGGTCTGTGGTATTATGGGAAGGTAGAAAAGAGGGAGACTCTGTTGGCCTTTAACTTCCTGTCTCTGCTTTCCCTCCTCTCCTTGCTGGTGCCACTCTCAGAATTAGGTGACATCACAAACCTAAGAGTCAACTTCACCAAGCTGGCCCCTGTACCTCAGAGGGGCTCCTATCCACCCAGCGCCTACTTTGCAGTGTCACAGCTACGTCTACAGGGGAGTTGCTTCTGTCATGGACATGCCAACCGCTGTGCCCCCAGTCCTGGAGGCCCTACAGGCCCCACCACTGCTGTGCAGGTGACAACCCAGGGTGGAATGGCAGAGTGGAGGGAGTGAGACCGGAGCAGACCCTCCCATGAAGCAGGGCAGCTGCTCAGTTTCGGTTGTGGATATTGCTGGTGACATAGCTCAGTGGTGGAGCACTTGCCTAGCAAGTGAAAGGCCAAAGCAGGGTAGGGAGATAGGTTGGGGGCAGGGGCTGGGCATGGTGGTGCATACCTAGTAGGCCCAGCACACTTAGAAGGTAGAGGCTGGAGGAATAGGAGGAGATCAAGGTCATTTTCAGCTACATAGTACGTTTGAGACTAGTTGGGCTCCACACCATCCTGGTTTTTGTTTTGTTTTGTTTTGAAGTCTCTAAGCAAACACAAAAAGACATAGGTATTTAGTAAGTCTGCAAGAACAAAAGTAAACCTACTGTCAAAGAAATCCACATTGTATACTTTATGTCTGCCACATGGCTGGGGATGGTTTCAGCTTCAGCTGCATGTAGACATGTGGGTACAGGGGAAACTGAGGCAAAGTCTCTCACCCTGGGTCTCACAGCATTATTATACTATGGAAGTTGCTGCATACCTATGAAAATATTGCTGTGAATTATGAGATACAAGAGACAAAATAACCTGTTTGGACCTCTACTCTCAGATATTCTGATTTCATTACTGATGTTTGAAGCTCCAGGCTGTTGTAATGTCCTGTGGTGTTGAGAGGCACTGGTCTTGGGGTTTAGTCATCTGGCAGTAAGGTGTGGGGCCAGGTAAGAGGTCAGTGCTTAGTATATACACAGAGTTCACCCTGAGCACCAGCCAGTATTGATGCGGGAGGGATGGGTAGAGAAACTCCAGTTTAGCAGGATCTCGGGGTTCACTGTGAGCCCCAGTAGGAGGACCCTGGGGAGAGGAGAGACTCTGCAGTGAAGGAGCACCAGGACATTTTGTTTGCCCTTCCCAGAGCGTTAGCTTGTCTGCCAACCTACGGGGATATGGTGCTCAGCCTGGTGGCAGAGAGGCAGGAGAGTCACAGCAGGCAGCTGAGGAGGGAAGTTAGTGGAGAGAGCGTCTCAGTCTTTGCTCTGTCCAGTTGTGGGACAATTCCTGCTGGATGCTGCAAAGGAGCCCAGAGGGAGTAGGATCTCTTAGGGCATAGAAGACAGATTAGGGGAACCTAAGGCCTAGTGGGAGGAACTCACAGGACTGCACCAATGCCTCAGCCCTGAGGGTCAAGGTTCAGGTGGAACTTGGTCAGGACTCTGGTATTTATTTGTAAACTGCCCAGGTGACTGTGCATGCAGCCAGCACAACAATTTATGGAGTTAAAGGGACCTGGGCAGGCCTAGGAAGGGGGAATAAACATGCCCCACTTGGCTGGTGAATGTAGAAATTAACTATGGCAGGCAGAAAAACATTAGAATTGGCCAATGGGAAATGCCAGTTTGCATGGGGAGTGGCTAGAGGTTCAGCTGTGGCAGAAAGGGAAGAGGAGCTGAGAGTGAACAAGTCCCCGAGTGCCAGGCTGTGGAGGTGGGGCTTAACTGGGGAAGCAATTAGCATACAATAGTGGTTCTGTTTTTATATCTTAATGAGTCTAGTAACAACTCACCGTGCATGTTCTCCCAGACAAACAGCTTAGTCATGGATTGCCAGAATGAAGCTGTAGAGAGTCCGCCGGACTCCAGAGTCCCACAGTTCATTAGCACAATGTCCACCGCCTTCCACTGAGCTCTGGCATGTACATCACAGGTGTCAAACCTGTGGAACCCTTGCTAGTATACAGGACACCTGCACACTCGCATGCATATACACACATACTCACGCTGCCCTCCTACGGGCACACAGCATGAGTACTCACATAAAGATCCAGGTCACCACAGTGTTACAAGAACTGGGTGAAGGCTAAAGCATTTAGATGTGGTGTCCTGCAGGGGCTTGTGTCTAGGCAAGGTCTGGAAGGGCAGGCAGGTTGGTCTGCAGGAAAAGTGGGCAGGTCCAGCCCTCAAGCTTTCCTGTATAAATCCTTTCTGCTAACCACTGCCCCTCCCCCAGGTCCAGGATGTCTGCATCTGCCAGCACAACACGGCTGGCCCCAACTGTGAGCGCTGTGCCCCCTTCTACAACAACCGGCCATGGAGACCTGCAGAGGGCCAGGATGCCCATGAGTGCCAAAGTAGGAGCCTGGGATCAGCTCCTGACCATAGCAACTGGGATGGGAGCTGACTCATCTGTATCTTACCTGGAACACTGGGACTCTGCTTTTGTTGCTTATAACTGAACTGCAGCCCTGCATTCAGATCTCTGGTTTGCAGTGGGGCTGGAATCCCCTCACAGCCTCCATCCCTATTCTGTCAGTCTGGAAGAGCCAGGCTTTGGTCCCTGCTAAAGTCATGTGCTCCCAGAGGCACTGTGGCCCCTCCAGGCTCCTTGCTCTGTGTTAGACACATCCAGCTTCTAGTGATCACATCCCTCTGTCCAATGGCCCTTGGATACAGAACCTTCATCTGTGCAGATCACAAAGTGGCAGGGGCCCATTTGTGACTGTGCTGAGGGCTAGAGCGCATGTCAGGACCTCCTTTTTTTCTGGAGTCATCCATACAGGATGGGACAACCTGAGTGCTTGTCCACTCAGCCCTCTTCCTGGTCATGCAGCCCTTTCCCAGTCTCCTTTGAACTTGGGCCCCACTTCCCTGCTGTGCATGTTTCAGAGTTGATAGAGGTGCCAGGTGCTACGTGGGGGCCTGCCATGGTGGTCTGCTTTTGCCCCATGGAGTCAACCTTGGATCTCCCTGTCTAGGGTGTGAGTGCAACGGACACTCAGAGACCTGCCACTTCGACCCCGCTGTGTTTGCTGCCAGCCAGGGGACACATGGAGGTGTGTGTGACAACTGCCGGGACCACACCGAGGGCAAGAACTGTGAGCGCTGTCAGCTACACTATTTCCGGAACAGACGACCTGGCGCTCCCATTCATGAGACCTGTATCCGTGAGTAGGGGCTTCAGGGACAGGTTGCTATCCACTCATTCTCCCCAGTTAGTCCCTGGGGACATGGAGGCCGTCAAGAAGCATCAAAGTCTTGGTCCCGAGGAAGGACTTGTGGGATTGTTTTAATGCAACTGTGCTCTGCTGAGTAGGTCACTCTCTCTGGGTTCTGGACCAATCAAGCAATGAGCTTGCTGGTCAGTATACACCCTTTTCAGAGGGCACAGAAAGAAGAAAGCATAAAGTGCAGCTCCTGCCTTTGGAGTCCACCCACATGGTGAACCTCTGTGTCTGTGATGCTGCTGTGGGTGTCGTGTGCACTGCTTTTGTTGAGAACTCCTCCACCATGAAGTTCTCTCTCTCTCTCTCTCTCTCTCTCTCTCTCTCTCTCTTGGTTTTTCAAGACAGGGTTTCTCTGTGTAGCCTTGGCTGTCCTGGAACTTGCTTTGTAGACCAGGCTGGCCTTGAACTCACAAAGATCTGCTTGCCTCTGCCTCCTGAGAGTGCCGGGATTAAAGGTGTGCACCACCACCGCCTGGTTATGAGATTATATCTTAACCCTCTGGCCCCTGCACAATGACTGGCAAATCACTATGGTTGAATGTTTGTTGACTGAATAAATGAGTGGAATAGCTTAACAGGCCCACCAGGCCACTGGATTAACCTAGGACCGTGGTTCTCACCTTCCTAACACTGTGACCCTTTAATACAGTTCCTCATGTTGTGCTGACCCCCAACCATAGTATTATTTTTGTTGCTACTTTATAACTGTAATTTTGTTACTGTTATGAATCATAATGTAAATATCTGATATGCAGGATGCCTGATATGTGACCCCCAAAGGGGTTGTGACCCACAGATTGAGAACCACTGACCTAAGAGAAGAAAAACAGGATAAAAGTGCTTGAGGCCAGTTTAATCAGGAAAAACCTTCTGCACAAAGAATCCTTGAGTTTTGAAAGGCATGAAGGGGTCAAGGAGTAGGCAGGAGCTGGGCAGCTTGCTGGTATTTGTGTCTGGAGAGTGAGATAGACGTGAGTCTGACTCTGTTTCCCCCCCCCCCCCCCCAGTCCAGTCTTCAGTATGTTAACATCTGCAAGCACTGGTTTCCTCATCCGTATGACAACTCCTGCCTGTTGAGGTTGCCATGAGGATTGGGCAGGGCAGCCTGTGAGGGTACCTGCTCATTGTTTGGAACATGGTAGTCACTCTACAAGTGATGACCACAGAAGCAAGAGTGTGATATTTAGCAGGAGTCAAGTGCTGTCCCACCAGCTTTGTGTACATCATTTAGTACTCAGAAGGAATTTCTTTCTCTCACGTGGCAGATGGGAAAACAGGCACAAAGGGTTCCAAGCTTGGCTGGGGTCACGAGGCTGGAAGCCCACGGTAGAATGGGAGTTTGGAGCAGGCCATCCTGGCTCCTCCTCTGAGCTCTGACTTTCCTTTGTTTCTGACTCAGCCTGTGAGTGTGATCCAGATGGGGCAGTGCCAGGAGCTCCCTGTGACCCATTGACTGGCCAATGTGTGTGCAAAGAGTACGTGCAAGGAGAGCGCTGTGACCTTTGCAAACCTGGCTTTACTGGACTCACCTTCGCCAACCCACAGGGCTGCCACCGTGAGTAGAGGGCCTGGGAAGGTGTGGTGTGGTATGAGGCAGACTGTATGGGTCTTTGGAATGTTCTCATCAGAGGAAGCCCCACTCCAGGTACTGTGTGCTGCACCAGTGTCCTCCAGCAAGTGGCAGCACAGGCCTGGGTTGGAAGGTGGGTTTGAGTCAGTCTGTGCCAGGGTGGGCGGGCCAATTGCCAAGCTGCCAGGTGGCTGGGAAGGCACAGTGGCCCTATGAGTCAGCCATATTATGCACAAGGACAGGCCCTCTGACTTCAGGCTGGTCTGATAGCTGAGCTCAACTTTTGGGGGACGCACCGGCTCTGCACAGCATTAGCCCTGCATTCTGTCTGCAGAGTGAGAGTCTGGGACACAGTCCTCAGAAGCAGGGCCAGACAGCCTGGTAGGAAGGGTCCCTGAGGGTACGTTCTCCAGTAATACACAGAGCAGGTGCTTTTCCAGGGCTAGGCCCTCTCTGGTACATGTTTTTTGGGGCCAACCTCTCTGTGGAATCTGTCTATGCTCAGCAGCCCTCCCTCCCACAGGCTGTGACTGCAGCGTCCTAGGTGCCCGGCGTGATATGCCTTGTGAGGAGGAAAGTGGGCGCTGCTTGTGCCTGCCCAACGTGGTGGGCCCCAAATGTGACCAGTGTGCCCCTTCCTACTGGAAACTGGCCAGTGGTAGGGGCTGTGAGCCCTGTGCCTGTGACCCACAGAACTCCCTCAGCCCCCAGTGCAACCAGGTATGAACAACATTGGCCCAGGGGCTCTTCAATCACGGAGGGGTCCTGCCTGCTAATGTCTTTACCTCTCCTTCACTGCTCTCTGGCCTTCCTACAGTCAGGCAAGGCTACATCTGTCTCCTTACCCTTTGGGGGAGGCCACCAGATGTCCCTCCCTCTGTGGTTCTCAGCCTTGGGCCAGGCTTGTCCCCCACACCGTCTGCAGCTCAGTGCCGAGACTTGACTTTGGGCTTGTCTTTCAGTAAGAGCCCTAGTTTTGGGGAGCACCAGATCTGTAGAGCAAGGGTCTTAGACACAGCACCCAGAAGGAAGGCCAGGAAAACACTGGAAGGGTCCCCCATGGCATTCTCTTTATTCAGTTTACAGGGCAATGCCCTTGTCGGGAAGGGTTTGGTGGCCTGACATGCAATTCTGCAGCCATCCGTCAGTGTCCTGACCAGACCCATGGAGATGTACCCACGGGGTGCCGAGGTGCGTGCTTATTACGTGGTCAGGCAGCTGGCATGGGGTGGGTTAAGGGGTGCTTGGTGGAGGGCATTGACGTGGTTGGACCTCCTGTACTGATGGCTTGGGCAGCTCTGTGAGCATCTACACTTGAAGACTGCCTGGCCTCCCTGTGCCTGAACCAGGTTATCTAAGGTGGTCCTCACAGTCCAGGATGGGGATCTGGGGACCTCCCACTCCCCGAGAGCAGCGGCCAGCAGCAGTGGAGAAAATGGGTCCTGAGGAGGACTGGGGTGTTTTCCTGGAGGGCCTATAGATCAGCAACGGCATGGGACTAGAGTAAATTCCAGCGTTGGTCTCAGCTCTGCCTTGCAGGGCCTGAGCAAGCTGCTCCCCTTTCACATTTCTTCCTCTTAAGGGGGAGGTACCATGTACTGGGTCCTTCTAGGCCTTGGTTGCCTCCTAAACAGAAGCAGGAAATCAGAATGTAAATGCACAGTGGGTGTGCTGGTCAGATGGGTTCACATGCATGTGAATGTGTCGCTAAGAACATGCCTGGCCTGCCATGGATGCTAACGGCAACCTCTCGGTTAGTCCTGTCAAGGCTTTCGTTCTAGCTGCTGTCATCTGATAGTCTATGTCACTTACGCAGACCCCGTTCCTTCATCCTCATCATGCTCCTTCCTCTTCCTGACCCCAGCCTCTGAGTGTCCTTTCTCTCGGCTCTAGCCTGTGACTGTGACTTCAGAGGAACCGAGGGTCCCGGCTGTGACAAAGCCTCAGGCCGCTGCCTCTGCCGCCCTGGCTTGACGGGGCCCCGCTGTGACCAGTGCCAGCGAGGCTACTGCGACCGCTACCCAGTATGTGTGGCCTGCCACTCTTGCTTCCAGACCTATGACATGGATCTCCAGGAGCAGGCTCGGCGCCTTGGTGGTCTCCATAATGCCACTGAAGGCCTGAGGTCAGGGACAGGTCTAGAAGACCATGGCCTGGCCTCTCGTTTGCTAGATGCCAAGAGCAAGATGGAGCAGATCAGACAGATCCTGGGGGGCACCTCTGTCACAGAGCAGGATGTGGCTCAGGTGGCAAATGCCATCTTGTCTATCAGGTAGGTCTTTTCCTCACCAAGCTGTTGGCAGGATCATGCCAGTGAATTTGGGTGAGGGCCTCACTGGTCCAATCTAGTGCTTGGGGCATTTTTATGCATACCTTCTCTTAGCTACCAAGGCAGGTCTGTGAAGGTGGAAAGGTGGTGTTGATTCTATTCTGCAGATGTGGAGACAGGCATGGATGTGATGAGCTGTGCAGACACAGACCTAGAGCTTGAGCCCAGCATTCCTCCTGAGCCTGTACTGCCAGTGGGATAGTCAGCCTGGATTAGTCACCTTGGCAGAGGGCACCCATGAGGCAGGGCACTAAAAATATCTCTGAATTTGTCTTTAGAATGGAAGCGGCCCCACCCACACCCCCTCCTACCAGCAGAGGCGCCTTCTTTGGGAGCTCGGGTTCTGGAAGCTTCTATAATTAGCTTGTGTTCCCTGCGCATTGGTGGATGGATGGTGCCAAGCCCAAAAAGAATAAGAGGCTCTGTTACCCGTGGGGGTGTTAGGACATCCTTGGCAGGGTGGGGTGGGGGTGGGGAGCTCTGTGGATGAGCTACAGCTTGTTGGAAATTGTTCATTCATTCATTCCACATTTGGGTGTGGGTGTGGGTGGGTGCACATGAGTGTGCATGTGTATACAGAGGCCAGAGCAGGATGATGGGTGTCTCCTGCTGTCACTGTATGACTTCCTGCCTTGAGACAGGGCCTCCCACTGACTCAGAAGCTCACTGCTATCATTAAGGTACAGCTTTTGATGTGCATACTGGAGATTTGAACTCAAGTCTTTATACTTGCAGAACAAACATTCTTATTCACTGATCCATCTCCCCAGCCCTTCCAAATAGGTTTTTGAGAACCCAATAGGATCCAACTATTGTGCAAGGTACCAGGGTCATTAAAATATTAAGATATGGTCTTCACATGCCAAGGGCTAAGGTGTCTGTCTTGTAAACAGTAATGTGCTACATGGGGTATGTTAGAGAGCTAAGATTCTCACAGGGGAGGCCATGGTGGCCTTCATAGGGGAAGGGTATATGACCTAAATCTCAGAATTAGATGACCAGTCCACAGGTGGTCAATATAGGAATGTGCTGTGTCTTGGTAGACCCTGAAAGGGCATGCTATGCCTGAGCAAGGCTGTGTGGTGGAGATGTGTTGGATGGGGAAAGCATGGTGGTATAGCAGAGGTCATGAGGCATGAAGACAGAGAACCATTGGCTCTCAAGATTAGGACCCAGGATCTGGAGTGACACCCCAAGCCTCTGTTAGATGGGAATGGCTAATGAGCATGCAATGGGGTTGGAGCTCCTTGGGGGAAGGTTGGCTACAGAGGAGAGATTGGGAACCATCTCAAACATAAGGTGAAAACTGAAATCAGCCTGGGGAGCCAGGGGAGCCAGCAGGGTGGCTCTCTTCAGGGAAGCCAGGAACAGCCCGGGAGATGGAGGTGGGTCCCAGACATTAGGCTGACAGAAGTCAAGGAGAGAGAGCATTCAGAGTCACCTGCAGAGAGATGGGGTAGGCTGTGCCCTGACTCTAGCTTGTCTGAGCCTCTGCCAGGCAGAATTCTCAGTAGCATGTGGATTGTTCCCTCTCATAACTGTGTAGAAGGCCCTTCCCCATGCAGTCTGCTTCTCCTGACTCAGTTACAGCGTCTCCCTATATTTCAGCAAGTATTCTTCTGCCTCAGGCGGACTCTTCAGGGCCTGCCGCTGGACCTACCCTTAGAGGAGGAGATGCAGTCCTTCCCTGGTGACCTAGGGAATCTGGACAGAAGTTTCAATCGCCTCCTCCTCATATACCAGAGCAAGAAGGAGCAATTTGAGAAGTTGGGCAGTGCAGACCCTTCAGGTGAGGATAGGGGCATAGACTACTCTCCCTAGGGAGAAAGGGCCCTGCCCAAGGCCTCCAGTCCCTTTCCTTCTTCCTCAGGAGCCTTCCGCATGCTGACCACGGCTTATGAGCAGTCCTCCCAGGCTGCACAGCAGGTGTCCGACAGTTCCAGCCTGCTGAGCCAGCTCAGGGACAGTCTCAGAGGGGTAGAAGGGATGGAGAGTCAGGCTGGGGGAGGAGGAGCTGGAGGAACCCAGCTCATGGCCCTGCGCCTGGAGATGGCTTCGCTGCCTGACTTGACACCCACCATCAACAAGGTGATTGGGAATGGAGTCCAGTGTCCTAAGCCCTCATACCTGTAATCTGTCCCATTCAGAACCTACCCCACTCCTCCTGACCCTATGTCTGTGCTGTGCACCCAGGGGTTGCCAAGGAAACATGGTCCTGGTTGCCATGGAGATGTGTGGATGTTTAGTGTGGGATGGGAGTGGTTGTGGAGGGACCTCTTTGACACCCTCATCTCTCTGCAGCTCTGTGGTAGCTCTAGGCAGACAGCCTGCACCGCGGGAGCATGCCCTGGAGAGCTGTGTCCCCATGCCAATGGCACAGCCTGTGGTTCTCACTGCTTGGGAGCCCTGCCCAGAGCCAGAGGGGCCTTCCACATGGCGGGGCAGGTAGCTGAGCAGCTACGGGGCTTCAACTCCCAGCTCCAGCAGACCAGGCAGATGGTAGGTACCACAAAGTATGGGAGCAAGAGGCAGAGGGTGCAGAGTCCCTTGAACAATTCAGAGTTCACATTTTACAGTCAGGAGAATAAAGCCCAGAGATCTCAGGTGATTTGTCTAATGCCTCACAGCAAGTGTAAGGTGGAATTTGGAGCTGATATCTTAAACTTTCTCTTAAAGTCCTACATAAACATCATTTGCAAACTGGGTTGGTTGCAAGTCCCAAGGGAGAGAATGCCCCACAGATTCCTTGGGAGCTGCCAAGAGGCTCCTTGAAGGTGATGTCCTTTTCTGGTCCACGTTGTGTTTTAACAGATTAGGGCAGCTGAAGAGGCGGCATCAAAGGTCCAATCAGATGCCCAGCGCCTTGAGACCCAGGTGAGCACCAGCCGCTTGCAGATGGAAGAAGATGTCCGGCGCACACGGCTTCTCATCCAGCAGGTCCGGGGCTTCCTCACAGGTGAGCTTCTTTCACCTCTGTGGGTGTTCTGGCTCCCATTGCCCTAGTTCATTAGCCTACTGCCTCCTTCCCGCCATGTCTGCTGCCCACTGGCTTGGTCATTTCTCCTCCCTGGTCTTCAGCTATTGATTTTGTTGCCCTTCTACCCTTCTTCCAACTGCCCTACCTTGTTCTTGCATGAAAATGGGCTTCTTTCTTGACCTCTGTCCATCTCTTCTCTGTATGTTTCCTTAGCTCACTGGGTATCACTTTAAATTTGTCAGTCCACTGCAGGGTCTTTCCTGGCCTGGGATGAATGGTTCCAAGGTTACAGTTTTAAATGCTACCTCCCCAGAGAGGCATTTTATAGTCTCCCTGTCTGTGTATCCCTCCTCCCCTCTCCTGTTCATCCCTCCACTCAGAAATGGCTGTGCAGTCCATTATGAGTGTGTCTCTAGGACAGCAAGGATGGATGTCTGTTTTGTTCATGGCTGTATCTATGGCACATATATAAGATTGGAGGATGAATGAATGGATGAATAAAGAAATGAATGGATGGGCCAGGCCCTCTCTTCGGTGGCCTAGAGGATGAGATAGGACTCTATTGGGGCAGGTTGTTTCTCTTGACCTTATCTTTCTCTTGAAAATGGAGTTGGTGGTATTCTACAGGTTTATCCCAAGAACCGAGTAACTGCTGTAAAGTGGACTTTGACAAATTAAAGGTGCCTCTGGATTGTGAGTTGATATTATTAGCTCTCATCTCTGCCAGGACTTTGCTTGGCTGGAAGCCTGGTTGATATGCGCTGAGGTCTGGGCACAACAGCGACTGCTCATGCTACTACTGAGTGTTTTTACCCCAAATAGGCCAAAGCTGTCTCCTGGGTGCAGACAGCAGGTCATGCATTGTAGCTAGAGTTTTCCTGCTTGGCCCACGGTCAAGGCAAATCTCTCTCACCCGCCTTTCCCACAGCCACTCAGACCCGACCAAGTAAACACAGACACTTATATTGGTTACAAACTGTATGGTCGTGGCAGGCTTCTTGCTAACTGTTCCTACAGCTTAAATTAATCCATTTTTATTAATCTATACCTTGCCACATGGCTTGTGGCTTGTGGCTTACCGGTACTTTACATCTTCCTTGTCCTGATGGCGGCTGGCAGTGTCTCTCTGCCTCAGCCTTCCACTTCCCAGCTCTATTCTCCTCCTTGTCCCGCCTATACTTCCTGCCTGGCCACGGGCCAATCAGTGATTTATTTATTGACCAATCAGCAACACATTTGACATACAGACCATCCCACAGCAATGCATAGAGCTGTAGATGGAGCTACTCGAACCCAGGAGGGTCTACAGAGGCCCTGTGACTTAATCAGGAGGAGCCTCTGGGAAGCATGTTTTCTGAGTGCAGGGCAAAGGTGCCTGGCATGTAAGGACAAAAGGACAACCAAGGTTTGGGGCTTGAGACTGAGTAGCTTGAGACTTGTGTTAACTTGAGCAGGCCCCAGTCAGGCTGGGAGGGACTGACTTCTCTGTGTAGCCTGGGATCTGCTCCTGGGAGCTGGTGGGAGCTTCCAGGCACCTCCTCCCTCTTAGCCAGGCTGCACCTCATGTCAGGGTCTCTGATGAGTTCAGCGGCGGAGAGAGGATGGGCCTGGCCTGAGAAGAGGCTTGGCTGTGTGGGGGACTCCAGAGACTTCTCACAGCCACTACTTGGTGGATTATAGTCTGCAGACCCAGGGTAGGAGGTGCCAAACCCAGCTGCTACTGCTACAGGAGAGAGTGTCAGGCCTATGGAGGAAGGAGGAGTGTTGTCTTTGCTAGCCCTTCAGGTGGAATTGAGGAAGTTCCCACATGGGGCTTATGGAGCAGTTACTAAGTACAGGCAGTATTCAAGGGGCTTTGTATCACATTTCTTAACCCTAGCCACTCTAGCTAAGTGCTGCTATTACCTCCAGTTCCCATGTGAGGAATGCACAGAGAAGTTAAGTAGCCAGAGGGCATCCAGCTGTAGGTGTCTCGCGTGTGCGTGCACATGCACACACACACACACACACACACACACACACACACACACACACACACACACACGCCTCCTGACTTTTGATGTCTCTTTTCCTCCGCCCCCCCTCTCCTCCGCCATATTCTCTCCCTTCCATCACTTCTTCTGACCTGACTAATTTCCCCCTTTTCTCTAAGATGCTGCTCAGGTTCCCTAACCATCCAGGAAGCCTCCCTGGTCCTGGGGGAAGTGCCCCCCATTCCTGGCCCAGTATACACCCTGCAGGTCACTCAGGATTATGCTTCATCTTTTATGTATCCCTCATTCCCACTACATTTTGAGCTCCACAAGGGCAGAGTCTGACTGGATCTTTGCCTTAACTGCACATGCTGTACATGCTGATATTTATTGGGCCCACTCCACCTCAGAAATGCATACATGCTGCTGCTGCAGTTGTGAAAAACACAGGAAGTGTCTGAGCTGGGTAGGGCTATGATCCTGGCAGGAGGCTTTCTGGGAAAGGTGTCCATTCAGCCCCATTTGGGGAATAGGGCATTGGGCTCCAGGAGGGGGCTGCATCTCTGGGAGCAGGATCCCCGTGGAGCTATAGGTGAGGTGGGAATACTTAAACTACTAGGGCTGCACCTTGGGCTTCTGTGGTATGTTGCTGCATAGCCTAGGACATCCTGTCTCCTTTCTCCCAAGGAGGTCCTTCTACCTGGTGTGAGGAGGGCAGAAATGGGATAGGACCTATGTTACCTGCTGCCTGTGAAGAGAGGCTGGCCCCAGAACTGTAGAGGAGTTCAGGCCAGGCTAAACTGTCTGGTTGAATGGACACTTCTTTCCAGAGAGATATCTGTAGAAGCAGCCGAGAGATGGGAAGCTATCCCCTTTGTACTTGCCTCTTGGATCTCTCTCTGAGGCACTTTGTAAAAACTCTTGCTAACTGATGGTGACATGCCACAGCTCACGATGGGGTGGGGGTGGGGTCGCTCAAGGCACTTCGCAGGTCAGGAAACTGAACCCAGGTGGCCTGACTAGTGAAGAGCGAGTGCTCTTTCAGTCTTTCATTTACTCCTCAAATGCAAAGGACCTCAGAATGCCTGGCTTGATCTGGGATCTGGGGACACAAATGGGACAAAACCCAGTCTTTGTTCTCAGGGGGTTCATACTGCAGCAGGAGAAGAGAGCCAAGCCAGGGAGTGTTTTCAAGGGGGTCGGGGGACATGCCACGTGGCTAGTGAGAACAATGAGGTGAGGGGATAGGAATGCTGGTTCTAGATTCCATTGCTAGACTGGCCTTTCTGAGACGGTGACATTTCAGGGAAAAATGGCAGTCCTTTTCTGTCTTTGCAAAAAACGAGCACTTGGCCTGAAGATGGGTGCAGGGAAGGGGTCTTATTGCCAAGGAAGCAGCTCCAATTCCTGGCTGCTCCCTCCCAATTTGGAGCTGATTATGTATGTGCTGCTGGCATTGTTCAGTACCAGCTGCCTGGCACCACCTCCTCCTCCAAGCCCACAGCTTCCTGTGGCACCAGACACTTAGCTGCCACAGCTGTGCCCACATCCCTCCTCCCTTCAGCAGAACATAGGACAAGAATCCCATAGCATCCTGGAAACACACCACCACCACCACCAGCACCACCAGAGAAAGGTGTCTGGGTTTGTCCAGGAGCAGAGCTCTTGGGGAAACAAAACAGGGGGCGCTACAGGAGATACCCTCCAGGGGTGCTACCCACCCTGGAGGGGCTGTGGATCCTAGAGGAGATGAGTGGGGCCTCTAATCTGATGGTTTGGCTGGCTTTCCTCCAGACCCCCACACAGACGCATCCACCATCCAAGAGGTCAGCGAGGCAGTGCTGGCGCTCTGGCTGCCCACAGACTCAGCCACAGTGCTGCGCAAGATGAAAGAGATCCAGGCCATTGCTGCCAGGCTCCCCAATGTGGACCTGGTGCTGTCCCAGACCAAGCAGGACATTGCACGGGCCCGCAGACTCCAGGCTGAGGCTGAGAAGGCCAGGTATGACCCCTGGCCCCAGTGCTTTCCTAGTGGAACTGAGTTCATGTTTGCTCCCTAACCTTGTGGCTGGGAGAGGGGTACAGGGGCTGTAACATGGAGGGGGGGTTACTATGTGAGGGAAGTCAGGGTATCTGCAGGGTTCAGGCTACATTTCATTCACATGACCTCATACTTTACACAGGGAGCTTGTGTCCAGAGAGTGTCGTGAGCATCACCCTCACACTCACCTGCCCCTGGGTGGGTCCTGTGGGTAGAGAGTTAATGCTTCCCTTGTCTTTGTCTGCCTGAGAACAATATTCTCCAGGGCCAGTGAGAACTGAGCTCGTATTTGTTCATTTGCTGCTCACTCATTCTCCTTTCCCTTCCTTTACTCAGAAGCCGAGCCCATGCTGTGGAAGGCCAGGTAGATGATGTGGTTGGGAACCTTCGGCAGGGTATCGTGGCTCTGCAGGAAGCTCAGGACACTATGCAGGGCACTGGCCGCTCTCTTCGGCTCATCCAGGAAAGGGTTGCTGAGGTGAGGCATTAGAGCTCCCCATGTTTGGGAATGAACATTTAGGTACAAGAAAAAAAGTGCTAGAATGTGACCTGGTTAGACACCACCTAGTGAGATACACTCGGCTTGGCTTTGAGCTTCAGACTTGTCTCACCCGTCTGGGATGCAAAAGCAGGGATGGACTATGAGCTGCATTGGGAATGATGTCAGTGGAGCTGGAAAGGGGAAAAGCCTGGGTACCACTGGGCAGGGAGCATGGAGTCAAAGCATCATGGTCAGATGTGACGAGAGAGTGAGAGACAAGCTGGGGAAATGAGTTCCCTTGATGCCTGTGAGACCCAGCACAAATCCCAATTCTTCTATCTTTCCGCAAAGGTCCAGCAGGTCCTGGTGCCAGCTGAAAGGCTGGTGAGAGGCATGAAGGAGCAGATGAGTGGATTTTGGGCACGGATGGAGAAGCTCCGCCACCAGTCCCAGGAGGAGCAGGCACAGGCAATGCAGGCCCAGCAGCTTGCAGAGGGTGCTGCCAAGCAGGCAATGAGTGCCCAGGAGGTACAAAGAGGGCAGAGTCATCCCAGTGACAGGAAACCAGAGTGGGGCTGCTGAGCAGGAAGTTTACTACACCTTATATAAGACCATACAGGACAGAACCAGAATGGTTCAGGGTGAACCCACGCACAGCCTGTGCCTGAATCCCACCCCTGCTCCTCTGGGTAGTGGGTGCAGGACACAAGGATCATCCTAGATTCTGTCCCTTTATGAATGAGGTAGTGACTTGTCCCCAGGTCCAAGTTTATCTACAAAGTATTTCCCTTGATAGCCACTCTGGAGCTTATTTACTGAGTCTCCAGCCTGGTCAGACCTTCATGCCTCAAACAGACACCCTGGGCTCCGTCCTAGTCAGAATCAGGGCAAAGAAGATCAAAAAGCCATTTTGGTATCTCAGGTGTACCACTTGCTTTACCCAGGGCAGGAACACGGGCACATGCAATCCTGGTCTAGTGACCACGTTGCCAACACACTTTGATATTAACCTGCCATTTGTGCCTGGCAAGTACGGCGGGTCATGACACAAGAGGAGGAAAGACAAAAGTTTAAGGCATCCCTTGGGGCTCAGAGGTAGGGCATTATAGGCAAACCCAACCCTTGGGGAAAACCAACTAGGAGGCCGTGTGCTGATTTGGGTGATGCCAGTTAGCCACTGGCATTTAGGACTTTAGATGATGTTGATGGCGATATTGAGAATGACCTACCTCTACAGGGCTTTGGGAGACTCAAGCAAAAGTATACAGAGTTGAAAGACCGGCTGGGTCAGAGTCCTATGCTGGGTGAGCAAGGCAGTCGAATCCTGAGCATCAAGACAGAGGCAGAGGAGCTGTTTGGAGAGACCATGGAAATGATGGACAAAATGAAAGGTGAGCATGATCCAGGAACTTGGACTGTTGGGCGGTTGCCATCCATGACCTTTTAAAAGTATTTTTGTGTGTGTGTGCATGTGTGTGTGCAATTGTGTGAATACACATCTGCCATAGCATGTCTGTGGTGGTCAAAGGGCAGCTTGCAGAAGTTGGTTATCTCCTTCCACTTTGTGGATTCTGGAGATCAAATTCAGGTTATCAGACTTGGTGGCAGGTGCCTTTACCCACTGAACCATCTCACCATCCCATCCCATCTGGGGCTCCTAAAACTCATTCTTATTGGAACCAAGCCAGCAGTGCTAAGGGAATGAGAGCAGCCAAGACTCACTGAGCAGCTAGTACATGGGATGAGACTGCGGATTGCAGGGATGTGCTGGTCACATGGCCTGAGAAGCTCACAGTCCAGCTGGGACCTTTTCTCCTGCTACCCTCAAAATGAACGCTGTGCTATGTAATGACACATGTCGGTGATAAAGATGCAGATCTCTAGGGGCTCAGAGGACAATCAGTGCCAGAGAGAAATGTTCAAAGAAGTAAGATGAGGAAGGAGGTGCAGGCCTGGGAGGGGCTAGAGGATGATGAAGGACCTCGGGATGATGGCGGTGAGAAAGAAGAGGAGTGTTCTGAGAATGTGACAGGCCTCACACCCTGAAGGAGAGGAACGTAGGATAGGAGTCTGAGGGGGACAGTAGCATGGTTCCTCGATGCCCCAATGCTGAGGGTAGACATGGACACAGTGGTGATCCATCTGAGGCCCTCTGAGGGTTTCAAACACGGAGACATCATCACGGTAATAGCCTCGGAAAGGGAGCATTCCTAGGAACCTGACAGTCTATGGATGTGATGGTGGGACCATTGAATTGGTGTGTCCAGCAAATGGCATACACATTATTCCTCTGAATTTCAAGAAAAATAGTTGGCAAAAGTCTCATTTCTAGCCAGATGGACTCTATAAAAGAGATTAGGTTGGTGAGTTTATGGTGAATTGGTGAGAGGTGTGGCCGTATATAGAGTTGGAGGCTGGTTCATTACTTATCCTGGCCTTGTCCCTCAATACTGTGTCAACAGATAACAGTTTGTTTATCATATCTGAAGATGGCAGACAATTACACTGGGAAAGAGAGTCACTGCAAAAGTCTAAAAGGTGGGCTGGAACCAACTGGATGAAATTATGTAGGAGGGGCAGTTACCTCTGCCACTGTTTGGGCCTCTGTCACTAAACCATGGCTTGGGTGAAGCTTCTCTGTGCATGGCTTATGTCACCGGGAGTACTTTGTAACTGGCAATGGTGGCAAGCACAAGCTGTTACTCACCTGAAAGAGACTCAAGAGTTCTGAGTCACCTCGAGTTGTTCTAACGTAGCAATGTCTTGCTCACTGCCGGAGGGCTTAACAAATGAGAGGCATCTGGGTGAACAGGAGGCAACCGCTCCAGGGTGACAGTGAAGTGACTTAGCACCTGGTGTGGCCTGGTCCCAGCAAACGGAAAAGGCTCAGCTCGGAGCATGGGAGCAGGAGTTTATCTACTTGTTGGGATTTGCCTTTGTGGGATCCTCTGGGACTGGGGGGCCAAGGAATGGAAGAGTGGCTGTTTAACATTATGAGTGTTTCTAGCGTCTATCAGCCTGAAATTCCATGTGGAGTTACACTGACTGCATATCAGCTCAGGCTCAATGCTGCTGCAGTCTGCTGGGAGTGGTGAGGCCTACCTCATCTTCAGAAAGAATACTGACAGATCTGCATCCATAGGAGAGGAGTAACCAGGGCAGGCAGGGGAAGGGGTGCTGTAGCAGCTAAGGAATTGAGGTGTTTGTCTTGGACGTACTATCCCACAGGAGCACAACAGACACACTCCTATCCCCCAGGAGGTGGGCATGGGGCATCTGTGTGGGTGGAAGCAAGAAGTGGCCAGATTTGGACTTCGTGAGAAGATGACTTCTGACATAGCTAGGGCCACTCTATGCTACCCTGTGAGGCAGTCCACAGCCCCTCCTTACTCCTGGCGAAGTTCAGGCTATCACAACATGGATAGTGGGGACTCATTCGTGAGGCTAGACTGTCTGGGTCACTCTGGAGAACTTCAGACCTTCCGTCTTAATCTGGGGATGATATGTGAATGCGCTGGGGATGGGGAACGACTGCATTTTCCTGGAGGACACTTTAGAGAGAAAAAGTGGTAAAAGGTCCACGTCACCTGGCCAGCGTTTTCCAGCGTCCATCTGAAGGTCATTGGTAGGTTTCAGAGGTCTGCATGCCCGACTTGGGTTGCTAATCTTGGTGGCAGCAGGCTCCCTCATTACCCTGGGATAACCGGGAGTCCGGAGTGGAGGAGAGGGATGGGCAAAGGGAAGACCAAGAGCAGGGCTGGGCCTGGGCCTGCCAGGTTTGAGTGGGATGGGGCTGGAGAGGTGGGTTGCAGGTGAGAACTGTCTGCTTCAGTGGTTGACTGTGCTCAGGGGAGACTCTTGTCCTGGCTGCCACACCTTCTGATTTTTCCCATTGGCTGTTCCTGCCTTAGACATGGAGTCAGAGCTGCTTCGTGGGAGTCAGGCCATCATGCTGCGCTCGGCAGACCTGTCGGGGCTGGAGAAGCGCGTGGAGCAGATCCGCAGTTACATCAATGGGCGTGTGCTCTACTATGCCACCTGCAAGTGACCTTAAGCCCCAATCTCATACACATTCCCCTCTCCTTGGAAGCGCACACTGGGGGGGTGGGAGGCATTTCCTAACCCTAGGACACTTCGATACCTTTGATAGTGCCATCTGGTTACCCGGGTGTGCTGCTGTTTGGTATCTGATGGCCATCGAGACTATGTTTACATGACCACGTTCAATGGTGTGTGTGTCGGGGGGAGCGGGAGAGACCAGCTATCACAGCTGAAGGTACTCCAGCTCAGGGAGCTGGGCTGTGTAGTGTGCCCCCATACCTACTCCTGCCCTCCACTGTAGTGGAATCTGGGATCGACACAAAAACTAGACAGAGTGATGTACAAATACAAAGCCCAATAAAAAAAAAAATCTTTGAACAGGAGCCTGGAAACTCAAGAAGAAAATGATCTGACTCTGCATTAAGTAACCTCTGTCACCTTTTCTGCCTCCTGTTGAGGTTCCTGTGGACTCAGTCCTATGGCTTGCCCTGATTACTCAGTCTGGCTCAATTGGCCCCTGGACTCAGGCAGATTGTGTTCCTCTGTCTCAGGACTGGAGTCCATCTGTTTCCACTTTCTCAGTGTCCTCGGCTCTACCCAGGCAGCGTAGGAGAGGAGAGACTTTTGTTGGCAGTCCCCAGCCTGTGATTGCCCAAGGTCTGGGGCTGGTACCAGGAGAGAAGAGACTCTCTAGGTGGCAGTCCCTGGCCTGTGATTGCCTACAGCTGGGGTTGGTATAGCAGACCCGGAGGTTCTCAGCTCCCAACCCTGAGAGCCAAGCTTTTGAAGTCAGAGTCCTGTAGATGCAGACGCTCAAGCTAGTGATGTATTTTCTCTCTGTTTTAATCACTAGCAGCCAGGGCACTGGGCAGCTCTTAAACTCGTTAGCTTTCATTGCACCCTGTGTCCCTTAAGGCTTGGCAGCTCCTTGGAACTCTTTAGCCACCAGGACCCACAATTTCTTATCTTTGGCTCCTGGAAACATCATTCATGTCAGGAGGCTGTTGCCTCGCTCCCCGCTGTTGGCTTCCTGCTGGTGTTTCTGCCATTTCTTCCTCATGTTACCACCTCAGGCTTGGAAAGTGGCCTAAACAGTCTGTACAGCTGAAAGGAGCATGGAAGGATGCACTGTCATTACACAGCCCTCCACATTTGCATGATGGACTGTGTCTTGGTCAGTGTTCTACTGCTGTGAAGAGAAGCCATGACTAAGATAACTCTAATAAAGAAAAGCATTTAATTGGGGCTTACTTATAGTTTCCCAGGTTTACCATTAATGTCATGGTGGGTAGCATGGTGGCATGTAGATAGGCATGGTAGCTAAGAGTTCCACATCTGGATCTGAAGGCAGCAGAGAGAGAAAGACACTGGGCCTGGCTGGAACTTTTGAAATCTCAAAGCCTGCATCCAGTGACACACTTCCTCCAGCAAGCCAACACCTATCCCAACAGGGCTGCACCTCCTAGTCCTTCCAAATAGTGCCTCTTTCCAAGCATTCAAATATATCAGCCTATCGGGGGCCATTCTTATTCAAACCACCACAGGCTGTGTTTGTATGATTCACAGGCCCTTCTGCTGAGCCAAGTGCTCCTTCTCTGGCCCGGGTAAAAATGGCTTATAGAGTTCACTGAGGCTTGTGATGGTAGAACGTTTGTTGTAAGAGGTAAAAGAGTGGTACCTAGAATAATGCCTTCTGAAGGAGAGCTGTGCTTCAGCAACAAGCAGCTGTGCTGTAGTGCAGCTTCCTCAAGGCATCCCTGTGGGTTTAAAGTAGCCAGGATATAATGAGAGCATCCGTACAGCTGTTAGAGAGGAGCTGCTTCTCCTCTCTAACATTTATTATTTAAGGGAAAATAAACATTAAAAGGGTTGCTTATATTAATGGCCTGTTTCTAACATTAACATTGTCTTAACAGAATTTAGTGTTCTGCACTTAGCCAAACATCCTTGGGGGAGAATTGGGTCATTTTACTTGTCCTAGAGGTAGGGCAAAGGCTTAAAACTGCTTGTAAAATGACTGTGTATGTTGATATGAAGTGTCACATTTGTGTGCTAGCCATGGTCCAGGCACTGTGCTGGGCACTTTCCCTCCTGCCTTTTTCTTTCTCATCTCATTTCTTCTTTCCCTGTTTCCCTTCTCTTCTCTTTTCCTCCCCCTTCTTTGAGATGGGGTCTCACTACATATGCAACAAACACTGGCCTTGAGCTCACACTCCTGCCTCAGCCTCCTGAGTGCTAGGATTATAGGAGCATCTCACTATGTATGCAGCAAACACGGGCCTTGAACTCACACTCCTGCCTCAGCCTTCTGAGTGCTAAGATTATAGGTGCATGCCATCAGGTTTGGCTTAGATTAACTTCTTGGTCATTTTTGATCATTTGAGTTGTTTTAAGAAGTGTGACTGGCATGCCACACACACTGTCCATGATGTAAGTGACACTCCATCAGACAAGTGAGGGAAACAAGGCAGTCACCTGAGGTCTCAGTGTGCACAATCACCCGAGGTCTCAGTGTGCAGTCACCTGAGGTCTCAGTGTGCAGTCACCTGAGGTCTCAGTGTGCACAGTCACCCGAGGTCTCAGTGTGCACAGTAACCCATGGTCTCAGTGTGCACAGTCACCCATGGTCTCAGTGTGCACAGTCACCTGAGGTCTCAGTGTGCACAATCACCCGAGGTCTCAGTGTGCACAATCACCCGAGGTCTCAGTGTGCACAATCACCCGAGGTCTCAGTGTGCACAATCACCTGAGGTCTCAGTGTGCACAGTCACCTGAGGTCTCAGTGTGCACAGTCACCTGAGGTCTCAGTGTGCACAGTCACCCGTGGTCTCAGTGTGCACAATCACCCATGGTCTCAGTGTGCACAGTCACCTGAGGTCTCAGTGTGCACAGTCACCTGAGGTCTCAGTGTGCACAATCACCCGAGGTCTCAGTGTGTCCCATGAGGGCAGAGCTGGCTTCATCTTCATGGTCTAAAGCAATCATCAACACAGCAGGAACTACAACATTCATAGAACCTGATCCAGGGGGTTGAAATGAGTTGGGTGATTCATGTGTCCTGACGCTTAGCTGCTACATGTTAGCTGCACCAGCTTCCTGCTGTCCAGGTAGGCCCAGCTGTCCATGAATTGCTTCTGACTTGGAGAGAATGAATGAAACCTCATAGAGAAAAATATGTCCATTTTATTTGAGCACAACACAGAGCATGAAGCTTGAGGGTGTGACGGCAAGAACACAGAGAGACAGAACAATGCACCTGACTTTCAGGGGAAAAGAGGAAGCCAGAGGCAGGAGACCTGGCTGACGTGAAAATAGTTCCCCAAATTCTTAATTAGTGGTGTGTGAGGTGTGTGGCTGAAGAGAAGTGCTCACAGTCTTGGCTTTCTCTGCTCCATGGGGGATGGGCACTGCTGTGCTTCAGAGGCAAGGAGAGCTTTGAAGTGTTCTGGGTCTCAGTGCAGTGGGAAGCTAATCCTGGAGGGAAGGACTGGAGTTGTGAGTGCCCCCAGGCCTCTGGGGCGCAGCCTGGCATTCATGCGAATAGGCAGGTACTATGACAAGGAGTCCAGTCTGGCCATGAGGCCAGAGAGGCAGGAGTGAGTATGCAGAGCAGGGAGTCTGAGCCAGACTCCATATGGCTTTGCTTGGAGAAAGTGGCACAGCCTGGCCAGCCCACAAAGCTTTTCACAACCAACAACACAAACCCAGATGAACACTATCTATGGACACAGCACGGAGCCACTGCACAAAGGATGTGGGGACATGGAATGGGCAGGTTGGGAGACCTGGAGGCTGGAATGCCATGCATCCTGCCCATGGCCTCAGGGAATGTCCAGGCCTTGGGGCTCCTTTGTGACTTCCTGTGAGTGTCTGCCCCAGGGCAGCAACAGGCTACTGCTTCAAACCAGATGCTGCTCCTGCCAGCCCTGCTCCACTGCAGTTGGTCCATCCTCTGCAGGACAGATGCTAGCTTAGAAAGGCAGAGAAGAGTCAGCCATGTCTCCTGAAAAGGGAAGCACTCTGGGTGAGGATAGGGCTTTCACCCGGTCCCTCCTTTAACCCCAGGAGTGGGTCTTCCCTTCTAGACATAAGTTCGCCTGACCCCCTGCTTGGCTTGCAAGCCTCAGATCCTACCTGAAAACTTCACAGTCTCCTGGGATCACATAATGAGACACACCCCAGTTTGCCCAGCCCGGCAGTGGGAGCTGCCACCAGCTTTCACTGGTACCATGACCTCTGACTTGAAGTTCCTGGAAAGGAGACAGAGTAGGGCCTTTGAATTATTTGAGGCAAAAAGAAACAGTTGGTGTTCTTCACACCCACGACATCTGCCTTGTCATCGCTTTCTGAAGTTCTGATGGCACAGGCCCTGCTGCGGAGACCTCCAGGGCTCCCTTCCTCCTTCCTGCCCCAAACAGGGAAGAGCTGGTAACTCAGAGGATCTAGCACTAGTACTTCTCATTCACACGTCTGCCTTTTCCTTTTCTCAGCACTTGGGATTGGATGTATTGTGACTGTGAGGCAAGTTCTCTACTATAGGGCTGAAGCCCAGCCTGTCCCTCTGCTAGACCTCTACAGTACCTCTGTGACGCATTTTATAGATGAGCAAACTTCAAGCCAGAGGCGAGACCTAACTGTTTTCTCTGGCTAGTGGCAGAAGCTTCCCTTGCCTGGGCCCAGAGTTCCTTCCACCCTGTAACTGCCTATTAGTGGGCCTGACTTTTGTGTTCATGTTCTTCGGCAAATGGTTCCTGCCCTTTCTGAAGTGGATAAGCAGAGTGAGGCTGACTGCCTGAGACTACGTACTGGTTTTTTTTTTTTTTTTTTTGGTTTTTCGAGACAGGGTTTCTCTGTGTAGCTTTGCGCCTTTTCCTGGAACTCGCTTTGGAGACCAGGCTGGCCTCGAACTCACAGAGATCCGCCTGGCTCTGCCTCCCGAGTGCTGGGATTAAAGGCGTGCGCCACCACCGCCCGGCTCATACGTACTGTTTTTTGTTGGCCTTTCTGAAGAGGGTGGGCTCGGAGCAGTAGGAGGACTTCCCCTTGTTCCCGATATTTAGACAGCTGGAGCAGCAGCCACAGGGCCCGGTGGCTAGGGGGCCCTGTTGCATGGGCACTAGGCTACTGCTGATGCGCAGAGAGCCATTGACCAGGCAGTTCAGTGAGCGGCCACCAGGAGCTGAAGGCCGGGAGCTGTGTGGGCAGGGCAGTCGGGTCAGAGCAGGAAGGGGTGCGCTTGGGTCCGGGATGGGGGCCTCTGTGATGGTATTGTCATGGGAGCTTGGTCTGGAGACTTCAGGAGCTGGGGACACAGGTGGCCTGTTCTCCACCTCTGAGCGGACGCTGGGGCTGTGCAGGTTCATGTGTAGTTTCCTCATGTGATGCACCACTGCGGCAGCGTTGAAGGCTTGCTGAGGAGGCAGGGAGTGTCTGGTTCTGCTCTTGCAGGAGGCTGCTGGGTTCCAGCTTCTCCCTGGGGCCTCTGGAAACCAACCTGCCCATGTCCCAGCTCACAGAAAGCACAGGGTACTGCTGTTGCCTGGGAGAGGGGTGCCCTAGGAAACCCACCCACCAACCTCAGACAGTCCAGCCTCCTGGGGCCCAGAACAGCATGCTCAGCCTCTGAGCACAGCTCACCCTCCACTTGCTCTTGGCAAAGTTCTTCTGAATCTGGAGGCTGACAGATGGGTAGATGTCCCGGTGCAGGGCGGTGTTCCCGTCAATCCTGGCGTGTAGGAGGGGACTTGACTACTAGGTGGCCCTGACACTCAAGTCAGAACTTGGACAGGGCTCTGAGCATGCAGGGCCAGGTTCAAGTGATAGGATATCCCAGGAGAAGGGTGATTCCAGCAGGAAAGGACTCCTATATCTCCCTGGGCAGGTCATAGGCACTCTACCACTGAGCTACACTCCCAGCGACATGCCCCTTAGGACAGGTTGCCTCTTTGGCAACTAGCATTCAACACTGTTCCGTGTGGGAGTTGACAGCCTGAAAACTGAAGCCTTGGCCTTGGCCTCTGGAAGTGATTAGAGCACTTTGCTGGCTTCCGCAGGTCAGACTGGCCCAACCCAGCACTGTCTGCTGGCCACCTGGACCTGACGAACATGTGTGTGTTTCCTGGATGCCTCAGCACTGGCTTTGATGTCCAGGGGGTCCTGGGAGTTAGTTTGGCCTTGGGAACCAGAAGGGAGGAGACAGAGCCCACCCTGTTTCTCACTCACCAGGGGTGTCTTAGGGCCTTCTCGCAGGTGTACCGTTCATTTGGGTCCTTCTCCAGCAGATGGCAAATAAAATCCTTGGCTAAGGGGAATATCAGAGGCTCAGCTAAGGACCAGATCTCATGACTGATAGAAATTCACTTCCGGGCTGGTGGGTGGCAGTGAATGCATCTTTAGCTAATCTTGCAAAGAGTCGGTTTTAAGTCTTAAAGAAGGGAGAGGAAGAAATCCAAACCACTCAACAACCCACCGCAAGCCACCAAGAAGAGCGCTCTAGGCAGCCTCACCCACACGTACAGGGGAACCTTGCCAGTCACATCACACCAATGTGCCTGCACAGCATGTGCATGCAATTGCTGGCAAACACGTGGGCTAACACGTGAGTGCTGGCTTCTTCCATCTCTGACCACCATTTACCAGGCCCCACGAGCATGCATGGCTCCTTTTTCACACACGGAATGGGTGCTGCGCTCTCTCTCTCAAATAGTATGCATGCTCCCTTCTCACACACAACATGCATACCACCTTCTCTCACACATAGCATGCATACCCTGCCTTCTCTCCTGCCCAGCATGCATACCCTGTTTTCTCTCCCAGCATGCATACCCTGTTTTCTCTCCCAGCATGCATACCCTGCCTTCTCTCCCAGCATGCATACTCTGCCTTCTCTCCTGCCCAGCATGCATACCCTGTTTTCTCTCCCAGGATGCATACCCTGTTTTCTCTCCCAGCATGCATACCCTGCCTTCTCTCCCAGCATGCATACTCTGCCTTCTCTCCTGCCCAGCATGCATACTACCTTCTCCCACACAAGGGTCTATTCTGCCCTGTTACCTAACCCCAGCTTGTGCCTTCTGCCTATAATCCTCCTCTCTGCCTGACTTTCCACTCTTGGCCTCTCCTCTGACCCACACCCCCTCTCACCCTCTCCCTAGGCACTGTGCCTCCCTCCGGGAAAGCAAGGGCAGGGGTCCTAGCTTCAAATACTTCACCTTTGAACCAGTTGAAGACTTCTCTACTCTCTCTGGCAGCTTCTTCTGCCTGAGCCCCAGGGACTGTCATCTCCATTAAGATACTTTACCCTGCAGCCTCTGCCTTCATACTCACCTGACTCAGAAATGTCGTCCCAGAACGGAGACTCAAACTCGTAGTAGCCCTCTTTGATCTTCTCAAAAAGTTTTGACTCTGTTTCTTCATAGAAAGGGGGATACCCACACAGCCTGCAAGAAGACAGGAAAGAGGGGGTCCACTAGACATTCCTTCCTCCCTGGACCAACCTCTCTTTCTCCCAGTCTCCCACTGTACACATTCATAGTCAATGAAGGTCTCAGACAAAGCAGTGTGACTAAGAGGTAGGCCTGCCCACTATTCAGAATGGGCAGGTCCGTAGAGCACATGTGGAACTGAGGCCTTAGGAGTCTCTGGACATCTGCCCACTGAACCCTCACTTCCTCTGGCTCTTGGGTGTTCTGCACAAAGCATCCTTAAGAAGGATGGGGAACATCACAAGGGATTAGGCTGTTTCGGTCTACTTTTTGAGACAGGGTCTCATGCAGCCCAAGTTAACTTCATACTTGCTATATAGCTAAGGATGACCTTGAACTTCTGCTTCTTTGGCCTCTGTCTTGTTGAACGAATCCTAAATAGTCTTATAATCAATAAGCCAGATATTGGGGTAAATGCTGAAAGATCAGAGAGACAAAGGAACAAGCCACAGTTACTTCTCACCACTACTGAATCCTCAGGTCGAATGGAAGGCGAGATCCTATCTCCACGAATCCTCTGACTGAAAGTCTCTGAGTCCTGAGCCAAAAGGTTTCCTCAGCCGAAAGGCCTTTAGTTCCTGTCTCCTCACACCGTATGTACCTTTCTCCACCCAGCTGTCTCCTCACACCGTATGTACCTTTCTCCACCCAGCCATATCACTTCCTTCCTAGTGCTGGGATTAATGGCATGTGTGCTTCCCAAATACTGGTAGCAAAGGCATGAGATTTCAAGTGCTGGGATTAAAGGCATGTGACTCCCAAGTGCTGGGATTAAAGGCGTGTGACTCCCAAGTGTTGGGATTAAAGGTGTGTGCCACCACTGCCTGGCTCTGTTTCTCTCCTAGACTGTATCAACCTCATGTAGTCCAGGGTGGCTTTGAACTCACAGAGATCCAGATGGATCTCTGCCTCCCAAGTGCTAAGATTAAAGGTGTGTGCCACCACTGCCTGGCCTCTATGTTTAATCTAATGGCTGGCTCTGTCCTCTGATCCTCAGGCAAGCTTTATTTGATACACAATATATCACCACACTATCTCCTGAGTACTAGGATTACATTTGTGTGCTACTGTAACCAGGCTTTATTTTCCAAAAAAGATGTTTTATTTTCATTTATATGTTTATCTGTGTCTGTGTGTCACATGTGCACAGGTACGCACAGAAGCCAGAATAGGGCATCAGATCCCCCTGGAGCTAGAGTAACTGGCCTGATGTGAATTTCTTAACTGTTGAGTTCTCTCTAGCCCCCTTCTTGACACTCAGTTTTATACTGTGCTATGATTGAACTCAGGGCTTCATGCATGCTAGGCAGGCACTCTACCAACTGAGCTCCATTCCCAGGCCCCAGCCTATGGGACAACTCAGACAGATATTTTTTGAGTAAATGAGGTAGAGCATTATTTAACAGAATCCACACTAAGAGGCAAGTGTTATTCCCTAAGAACGGAGCTGGCTGCTATGGTTGGGGAATGCTGGGTATGTGTGTGTGGGAGCCATGGGAAGGCTAGGAAAGGGAGTGCCTGAGCATGTGTGGAGGAAAGGAAGTACCTAGTTCATGAGGTGGCCTTCAGATGGTGTCACTGCTAGATCTGGGGAGCTGAGATGTTTCAGCCTACCTGGTTTCTAAGCCTTGATCTCTCATTTTCCTGTTGGTTTTACAGAGTGGCTGGAACTCAATATATTTGCACAGAGGGTGGGGATGCAGTGCCCTGAAGGAGGGGGGTCTAGAGGGCTGAAGAGTGAGTGCAGGCTGGGTTCTGCTCATAGCTTGGTAGAGCTTAGAGGAGTTATGTACATAGTGAGCGTGCGTGTGTGTGTGTGTGTGTGTGTGTGTGTGTGTGTGTGTGTGTGTGTGTGTTCACACATGCATACACAGATGCCTGAGAGGAGAAGGGGTGAGCAGACCCTGAGATTTCCCAGGAAATGCACCGGCGCCAGCTTTTACTCACAATATGTATGTGATGACACCAATGGACCAGCAGTCCACAGCCTTACTGTAGGGCTTCTGGGCCAGCACTTCTGGAGCTGTAGAAAATCAATGGTAGGTTCAGGGCTAGGGACAAGAGCGGAGGCCAGAGAGGAGTAGAGAACAGGAAAAGGAATGGGAGTGGGGGTGGAAGGGTAGGGTAGGGAACATCTATGAGATGAAAACTCCCCAAAGGCAGGGGCTGTATCTCCCCAAGCAGACAAACTCTTCCTGAGAGGAGAGGCTTGATCCTCCATCAATCTGGGAGTTTCCATAAGCTGTTTGTGACTCCTCCATCAGCCAGGAGGTCTCCAGCTTTGCTGCTCCTGTCAGACTAAGTACCTTCTAAGAGCAACACCTGTCTGTGCTCACATGGGGGGACCCTCAGGATAAGAGTCACGTGGGGGACTCTCAGGATAAGGGTCATGTGGGGGACTCTCAGGATAAGGGTCATGTGGGGGAACCTCAGGATAAGAGTCACATGGGGGATCCTTAGGATAAGGGTCATGTGGGGGACCCTCAGGATAAGGGTCATATGGGGGACCCTCAGGATAAGGGTCACATGGGGGAATCTCAGGGTAAGGGTCATGTGGGGGAACCTCAGGATAAGGGTCACATAGGGGATCTTCAGGATAAGGGTCACATGGGGGATCCTTAGGATAAGGGTCACACGAGGGACCCTCAGGGTAAGTGTTCAGTTTCTGTCTTTGGAGCAGGGATCTGCAGGGTGGTATGGACTCTCTCCCACTGCTGCAGAAGCCCTGGAAGGCAGAGGCTCCCTACCCTAGTCATCTCAGGAAGCTCCCAGAAGGTGACAGGAACTTCTCATCTATCTGTGGGTACCTGCTTACGGCAGGAGCTTGAGGGCTCAATAAGGCCGTGAGCCATGTCTCCCTAGGTGGGAGAGCCAGGCAGAGAGAGCTAACTTCTGAGGGTACCCCAGTATTGGATTTAGTATCCATAGAATTCCACATCTTTAGGTGAGTGACTAAACTCCCCATGAGAGGGAGCAGGTTCTTTGGGGAGTCTGGGCTCCTGCTTTCCTAAGTCCATTGGGTGGTAGCAGGAATAAACAGAGGGTGTTCTCTCTCTCCTTCCTCCTCTCAGGTCCCAGCACAGCTGTCCCCAAGTGTCCTGTCAGTTATTCTCTTTCCAGGAGTCCTGGCAGCTGAATGGGCACAGTGCCCAGCTTCTGCCACTCCCATGTACGTCCTAGAATTTCATGAGGTGCCCATACCCCTTGGGTCCAAACTCCTCATCATGTAGATCCAAACTCCTAGCAGTTAGGGGGTTCTAGTTTAGTGGGGGGAAAGGGGTGAGTGCTCCATTCCTTAGCTCTCCGCTAATCTCAGGGTTGTGATGGTGGCAGAGTATGCCTAGGGCGGGCTCTGTAAAGAGCAGGATTAGAGAGGCAATGGACTGGCCAAGGGCTCTATTAGACAGTCCCTGAGGATGAACATGTCCACACATAATCACTTTTCTCTGTGAGTTTTATCGCAGTTGTGCTGGTCATCTTAACACACGCTGGAGTTATCTAGGAAGAGGGAGCTTCAGTTGAGGAACTGCCTCCATCAGATTGTCCTGTGGGTGGGTTTGTGGGGCATCTTATTGGTCTGGGGTTGATGTGGGAGGAGGAGCCCAGTCCACTGTGTTGGTGCCAACCCTTGGCAAGTGGTCCTGGGTGATATAAGAAAACAGGCTGAGTAAGCCAGTAAGAAGCACTCCTCCATGGCCTCTGCTTCAGTTCTTGCCTCTAGGTTCCTGCCTCAAGCACCTGCCTTGACTTCTCTGGATGGCCTGCGTCAGGATATGTAAGCCAAATACACCTTTTCCTGCCCTAAGTTTGTTCTTGTCAGTGTTTTATCACAACTGCAGAGAGGCAAACTAGGACAGAAATTGGTACCAGAGAAAGTGGGGGTATCACTGTGACAGACCTGACCATGTCAGTTTGGGGGAAGACTGTGGAGGATTTCGGAGCATTGGGCTAGAAAAGGCCATCTAATGCCCTGAGGTTGATGAGCTATTATGGGACCTTAGAAGATAGAACTGTCAAGAGGGGTGCAGATGATGCAGGCCTGGCTTGTGAAATTTCAGGGTAATAAAGACTATCAGGGCTGTGTGTGAGATATTTTGATTTAAGAATCCATGGCATATGGTCAACTGCAGCTGAAAACTTAGCTGAGATAAGCAAGAGACCAATATTTTTGAACTGAAATTTTCTGGGGAGTGTTTCTTCAGGGTCAGCACACAGAAGCTGTAGTCTGGGGAGCATTGGACTGTACATCAAGCTGCCAGCAGAACTTGGTGAGTAATGTAGAAGAGCCTGCCACATGGTACTGGTTCTGAAGGCGTGAATGGATCATGGAGAGCAGCTCAGGCTTGGCGCTGTGTGAGGCCAGGAGAGACTGACGATGCAGCTTCGTTGCAATGGAGACCTCAGGATATTACAGATGCCACCAAAGGTGGTGACAGGTATGGAGTGGAGCTGGCTTAAGTCTGTGGGACAAACTGTTTGTGTTGTGTATAGCAGAGCCAGAGAAATGAGCTATCTAAGCCCTTTGGAGCCAAGAAGATAGTGAATCCCAAATGTCAACATTGATCTACTTACTATGTTAGATCTTGGTTTTGCTTTGATTCAATTGAAACTGTGCATTGATTCTCTCTTGGAGTAAGAAAGTATTTAACTTGTTTTGTATTTTACAGGAACCCACAGTTGAAATACTGAATATTTTAAGAAGATGTTGAACTTTTAAAGTCCTGAAAAATTTAAAGACTGTATGATATTGACAGGATATCTTGGGAACAAATAAGAAAGGAAACTGACATGGTATCGATTGTGCTGGTTACCTTATGTCAACTTGACACAAGCTAGAGCTATCTAGGAGGAAGGAACCTCAGTTAAGGAATCACTGCCATCAAATTGACCTGTGGGCAAGTCTATGTGATATTTTCATGCTTAATGATTGATGTGGGAAGGCTCAGCTCTGCTGTGGGATGTTCTGTATGGCAAATGTGTTGCTCTGATTGGTCAATAAATAAAACACTGATTGGCCATTGGCTAGGCAGGAAGTATAGGCGGGACAAGGAGGAGAATAAAGCTGGGAAGTGGAAGGCTGAGTCAGAGAGACACTGCCAGTCGCCACAATGACAAACAGCATGTGAAGATGCCGGTAAGCCACGAGCCATGTGGAAAGGTATAGATTAATGGAAATGGATTAATTTAAGCTGTAAAAACAGTTAGCAAGTTAGCCTGCCACGGCCATACAGTTTGTAAGCAATATAAGTCTCTGTGTTTACTTGGTCGGGTCTGAGCGGCTGTGGGACTGGCAGGTGAGAGAGATTTGTCCTGACTGTGGGCCAGGCAGGAAAACTCTAGTTACACAGCTCACTGTGGGTGGCGTCATCTCTGAGCAAGTGATCCTGGGCTGAATAAGAAAGGGAGCTGAGCAAGCCTTGGGGAGCAAGTCAGTAAGCAGCATTCCTCCGTGGCCTCTGCTTCAGTTCCTATTTTCTTCTTGAGTTGCTGCTCTGACTTACCTACATGCCATAATACATAAGACAAAATAAGCCCTTTCCTCTTTTGGTCATGGTGTTTATCACACACAGCAACAGAAAGCAAACTAGACCCCTAGTGATTGAACAAACATACAGCTAGCTTCTGCTGCCCCTGGACTCACCCACATAGCCTGGGGTCCCACAGGCCGTGGACATGACTCCATTCTGTTCCATCTTGGATAGACCGAAGTCAGTGATCATGATCTTGGAGTTCTCCTCTGGGGTGAGGTACAGCAAGTTCTCAGGCTGCAGAAGGAAAAGATACACAGCATATGAAGGAACCCCCTGAACAGTGTGCTGGTCCTTGACATGGGATTTCCTGGGAAGCTAAGCCCTGGGCTGCCAACTCAGAGGCCACAACCCCTTTCCCTATTTCTTTCCATCTTCCTCCTCTCTGTGTCCTTGCTCTACATCCTAGAACTCTGTATCTTGCTTATAGTCCTGGCTTTGCTTACCCGTCCCCACTCCCAACTACCCTAAACTGCATTTTGAGGGACCTAACTCTCAGCTAATTGTCTCTTATCTCCCAAGTCTACTGTGGTGCCCGCTATGGCTCAGTCCCTTAGTGAGTGTTTATTCTTGAATTTGACTGTGGCTGTGGGCTGTTTTGACATCTTAATGGGGAGAACATTCAAAAGGCTCATAAAAAGGCTAAGGTGTAGTTCGTTGAACAATGATCATCTATAATCAGCATAAAGAATCTTAGAGCAGAGGCAGCCTTTTGAGTTTAACCAGGCCAACATTCTCATTTAAGAGTTATACTTCTCAGGCTTGATGCAACATCATGAAGTTCCCCCAGTTCCTGACCCAGTTCCTGGGTGTTTCCCACCCAGCACTCCTGCTCCATCACCTTTAGGTCTCTGTGGACGATGCCGTTCTCATGGAGGTATTTCACTGCAGACAAGACCTGCTGGATGACCAGGCTGGCATCTTTCTCTGTGTAGACACCACGCTCCAGGATCCGGTCAAAAAGCTCACCCCCAGAAACACTGTGGGTACAAGAATCTGATTCCATATCGGGTCAAGGGCCAAACAATTCTCTGTAGCCATGGGCTGTAAGCACAGGCAGGTCACCCTAAAGTGAGATGTGAGGGTGCAGAGGGAGGCATTCTCCTGCCTCAGAGTACTCCCTCTGGGTGTCTGAGATGATTACTAGGGGTCATTTCTTTGGTTCAAGCATTGTTTGGTTGATCTCTTTCTGGAAGCTTCTATTGTAATTCAAATGGCCTTGGTTAGAATGCATGGAAAAGCTAGGAATTCTTTCCTAGGGATACCACCTTTGCTTTCCTGGGACACAGGAAGCCATTATAACACAGAGAGGTGATTCAAAATTGGACAAAGTGTGAAAATGAGATTAATTATGCATACCTTTGTAATAGGGCTTCTTTTCTCTTTAGGGAAGCTGGGCTACCTATGGCTGCAATTTCAGATAGGGACATAGGGGCATTTTGAAACTTGAATAGTATGGGAAATGAGAACATTGGAGCTGACCCTCCATTATCTTTGATATCATCTATACTATGTTTCTAGAAGTTTCCAGTCAGAACTAGAACATGAGCATTGGAGAACATGCTGCCTCCAATGAAAGACTGCATTCTCCTTGAGTGTATTCTTAATATTTCTAGAAATCATGTTGAAACCTGACACCTTGTAGTTCCAACAGCTCCCCTCTGCTACCACACAAAGCAGGTGCAACTCTTACTTCCGTGTGACAGTGGCAGACACAGAGACCATGCTACTGTCTTATAGAAGGATATATCACATAGCCTGCATTTAATTTAAGTGGATCTCTCTTGAGAAATTTGCTTTTTATACTGAATTGAAATCATCCACCTATGGTTTCTACTCTCGCAATCACTTTATCCTAAAATGATGTTAATAGGTTTACTATCAAGTCCATAGACATGGACTCATTAAAGTGGTGCCAGAGGAGAGTTCGGGTGGCTTACATTATGCCTGACATTTGCCTCTTCAGTGGCTGACTGGTTGGGAAGTCCCAGAAGACCTTGTGGGTGGCAAAGAGCATGAACAGCTATTGTCTGCTCATAGGAAATATCCCAACTGCAAGCCTGTGCTGGTCTGAACCAACTCAACAGTTGACCCAGTGTGGCCCTTCAGTCCAGCATCGGAAGCACACTGACCCAGAAGGACAGCATTTCAGAGCCCCTGAAGCGAGTTCTTGACTGTATCTGGCATTCCCTGACCCTCCTCCCCTCGGCCTCTTTAGGGGTGAGAGTCATCTTCACTTACAGCTGCATGACCAGGTAGTAGTGGGTGGTGCTCTCATAGATGTCCTCCAGGGTCACAATGTTTTCATGCTTGATCCTGAAAAAGATAAGAATCCTGTGATAGGTACATGGTTCAGGTGGTCCAGACAAAGACTGCAGACTCAGACTCAAATTTCTACCAGATTGTTTGGATGGCAATGTGTAAGAGGACTGGGTTTGAGAAGCCTTCCTGATGAGGCCAGCACAAAGCAGCTGCAGATGGAAGACCTGCTCTGTATGTAGGCAGCATCATCCCATCCCATGAGCTGGGGGTCCAGACAGGATAAAAAAGAGAAATTGAGCTGAGTGCCAGCGTTCATCTCTCGGCTTCCTTCCTGTGGATGTGATGTGCTCAGCTGCCTTGTGCTCCTGCTTCTTCTTTTCCATAACAGACTAGATCCTTCAAACTGTGAGTCAAAACAAACCCTTCCTCCTTTAAAAATTTTTGACAGATATGTTTGTCACAGTAACAAGAAAAGTAATTAATATAGTAACCATGAAAATAAGAGTTAGATATGAAAAAAGGCAGGTTCTGATTTTCTGTGGAATGCCTTAGATGAGTGATTCTCTATCAGGATATTTGCTCCACAAAGGACATTTAGCAGTTTTACATGTGTCCACTCATGCATGCATCCATGTATCACTATCTATCTATCTATCTATCTATCTATCTATCTATCTATCTATCTATCTATCTGTCTGTCTGTCTGTCTATCTATCTATCTATCTATCTATCTATCTATCTATCTATCTATCTATCTATCTCTATCTAATACCTATCTTATATCTATTTCCCAATCATCTATCTAATTATCCTTTGCATTGTGGTTCTTGGTCTTCCTTCCTTCCTTCTTTCTTTCTTTTGTTCATTCTTTCATTCTTTCTTCCTTTCTTTCTTTTGGCAGGATGTTACTCTGTAGGTCAGACCTGGGTTAGTCCAGAACTCATCATGTACACTACTTGTACATGTGCCCCCAACTTGTGCCCATCCTCCTTCCTCTGTCTCCCAAGTGCTCATAGGCATTTACCACCAAACCCAGCATCATAGTTTCTAAAATAACTTTTTAAAAAAGTATTTATTTATGTGTGTTTGTGTGTGTGTGTATACATACACACATACACATGTGCCTGAATGAATTTATGTTCACCATAAGACTGCAGATGGCTGCAGAGGCCTGAGGGTGTTGGATTCCTGAGAGTTGGAGTTACAGGTGCTTGTGAGTCACCTGATATAGGGGCTTGGAACTGAACCTGGGTCCTCTGCAAGAGCCGTATGTGCTCTTAACTGATGAGCCATCTTTCCAGCCCTCTAGAAACTTAGTTTTGAATGTTCTTGTTGGGGGCTGGGGCTGCCACTGGCACCTACAGGGTGGAGGTAGAAAGATTGCTGAACAGCCCACAACACGCAGGGCCACCCTCAACATAGATAGAATGGTCTTGTCCACAAATTGTGAAGTCCTGCTCTAGAGTTAAGCAGAAGAGTCATGACAGGCAAGATATGTGGCTTCCTGGCAGCTTTTCTATGGATGCCTGGGGAGGAAGATTGCCTCCAGGTGGTTGATACTGAGTTAGGGGACTAGGATTCCACCTGACTCTGGCATAGCCTACCCTTTAGCTGGCTTTCTCAGATCCTTACTTTGTTTGTTTGGTTGATTTTGGTCTGAAAAATACATCTCTCTCATATAGTTGTATCAGGATTAAAGGAGAAAATTGCAGATAGCTCAGCGATGAAGGAAGGTGCTTACTGCACAAGTCTGGTGACTTGAGTTCAACCCCTGGAACCAATGTGAAGTTCCTCAGACTGCCACATGCCCACCATGGCATGTGTGCCCACACATCATGTACACAGGCACACACAATAATAATAAATACATTGTAAAATTAAAAAAATCTTTTAAAGATGAAAATGCATGAAAAATGCTTAGTATAGTGCTTGGGAAAGGTAGAGCCAGTGGCAGATATCTGATTGAAGGTATCTTTAAACCCCAGAGCTGGTACTGCGGTTCCTAGAAGGATTCCACCACCGTTATAGGCTGGCAGTGCTCATATTAACTTCCTTATTATTCTTGCATTGAACTGATGTGTACTGAATATCTAGGCTGTTAATACAGTGCAGTAAGAAAGAGCACCACAGTGTGCTTCCCCCACCCCCTGCCCAGGCTCTTCTGTGCAGAGATAAGTGGACGTCTACAGTACATATGCTCCAACCAATTTCTTCTTGTTTCCTCGAAGTCTATGCTTTTTGTTCTTTATTTCGAGCAACAGCGTCACTTTCTACTTAGTGGGTGCTTGCCTTAGTCTCAGGATCATTTGAAATGTTCTGCTCTTCGGCACTTTTGTTGTCTTAACTGTCTTTGCACAATCCTGCCACTGGTGTTTTTCACCCTGTGTAAATTGCTGTTAGGGTTTTATAATGAGTCTCCTATCCTCTGGTTTCCTTAACCCACCTTCCTGCATGCCTAAGAGGGATGACTATTAACTTCATTCTGTTGCCTTGCTTGAAATCCCTCCATCAGTTCTCTTTGTTCACAGAAAAAAGCCAGCATCCTTGATCCTGGCATCAAGGACCCTCTGCAATCCTTGTTCCAGTCCACACTCTATTCTCACTGCCTGTCCTTGATGCTACTACCCACACAAAGCTGTGGCGATTCTAGGACATACTCTCTCCTTACACTTCCATGATTCTGCACAAAAGTTTGCAAAACTCTTGCATTTTCTCTCTGTGGTGCCTCCTTGTCCATAAAATTCTACTCACTCATCGAAGTCTTTCTTCTTTGAAAACATACCAAATAATCCACATTCATCAGGCATGTGGGCCAGCAGAAATGAGCCTGTCCCCTCCATACGCTACTTTCTGCTGGATTACAGCCAGTCAGGTGGAAGACTCGCTAGTTATGGGTGCTCCTCCCCAGCTGGGCAATGTGGGCTCCTGAGCAATGTCTGCCTCATCCAATGGTTCTGATCGTGTGTCAATGTGCCTGTCACACTTAAAGTATGTCACAGGGGTTCCACAGGCTCACTCTAAGAGTCTCACTGTGAACGTTGGTGATACATCAGTGTAGCCTCCAGCAGTTTCCAGGATGAGTGTGTGGGTTCTCTCTGGATCAAACCAAGGCTAATTCTCAAGTCTCCTGCTGCCTCCTCGGGTATCGATTCTTCCTGCTGTCAGCCATCAGTTGGCTTTTGATTTTCTGAGCTACTCACTCTCTGGCCTACATGTATGAACGAGTGAGCTCACCAGTCAATTTGCTGGGAAAACAATTTCATCTGGCCCCAGCTACCTGACTAGCCTGAAAAGGATTCAAAGGGCACAAGGCCCACAGGTGTGGAACCCGTGGGAAGGGCGGGTCAGAATCCCACAGCGCACCTGCCTCCCCCTCCCCACCCCCTGAGGCCCTGACATCCACTCACTCACCTTTTCAACACAGCAATCTCGTTCTCTAGGCTACTGTCCCGGAAGGCTGGAGACTTCTTGATGCACTTCAGGGCAAAGAGTTTCCCAGTCACTCTTTGCTTCACCAGGAACACCTCTGAGAAAGCTCCTCTGTGGGGAAGAGGCCAAGACAGAAAATGTAGCTCTGGCTGGCAGAGAGCATACCAGAATTAAAGGGGAAGAATAGAAGGGAAATGTGTGGCCGACGAGTTTCCATTGTCACCATGAACTCAGACGAGTGGGATGCCCATGACCTCTCTGACATGCCAGTATGTTCTTTCCCTTGTAGGTCTCATGGGACATATGCGGGGACCAGGAGGCTGCTTTTCCCTGTGTAATCCCCACAGACTCTGCTTCAGCTGCAGACATCTCTCCACATAGCAAAACCCACTAAGGCTTGGCAGAGCCGATTCACTTCTCATCAACATGATGCCCTGTGGCCAGTGGTGGTAGCAGGAGAGGACAGACTCACATGCTGTGAGAGAAGAAAGACTCCGGGATAAGTTTAATTAGCTTCTATTTATGAATTATCCAATTTAATTTGATGGGGTCTTACTACTTTCAGACTGCTGGCTAACTCCTGGGATCATGTGATCCTCTTGCCTCAGCTTCCCAAATAGCTGGGACTATGGGTGTGTCTTATCAATGCACTGCTGGTAGTCACCCGATTCTGTCCTCAGAAGACCAAGAGGCTGACTATCCACTCCTTCATTCTGGTGGTTCTGGGGCACACTGGATGGAACTCAACAGGATTTGACATGCTTCATGGGTGAAGGGCCCTGGAGATCAGCCATCAGAACATCGGGTAAGCTAGGGCTGGAAGCTGGAGCTTGACAATTCATGTTAGAATCTTAGCTTTTGAGGTGAATGCTGTGCCAATCTCAGTTGTGCTGTATTGTTTGGGAATGAGGACAGGAGAAAACCTGACCATGTCCAGGACAGACAGACATATTTTCTCCTGCTACGTTTGACTTTCTGATGGCTGAATCTGCAGGTGTGGAACAGAGGGATACAGGGATGACCGAGCAATGAAATGCTAACAGTTGGATTTAGTGGAAGGGTTTATTTGAGTCCATTCCACCTTTTCCTTACGTCTAAACTCCTTTAAAAGCTGAAGCCATAGCTCTCAAATGGATCCCTCTAGTCTGCATAGTGCTGCGGTGGTGGCCCTCCCTCACCACCACGAGGGAGGGCCTGTCTACTTCTGGAATGTCTTCTAGGAGATGGTGCCATGTCGGCTCTCATCAACCTGGGCTTCTTGCTCTCCACTTTGTGGGTTTAAGGCTGCTTAGCAAATCATTTCTGACTCACTTGTGAGCCTTGTCTCTCTTCTGCCATCTGCCACTTTCTAGCCACCCCCATGTTGGCAGGGCCCTTGAAGGAAGGTCAGGGCTCTGACAACCAGCACTGCCACTGTGTCCCTGTGCACACACAGCCAGACACCTCCCATGTAGGGACAGCCTGAGTCTCTTTTCGGTGGTGCCTGGTGCCTGTCTGTCTACAGAAAAAGAGGGCATCTCTCACTGGCCAGGGCAGGGAGAAGGGACACTTTGCTGGCACTGGCTAGAAAGCTTGCTAGAGGGAGCAGCCTGTGGACTCCTCGCTTGCCTAGGCCCAATTATCCCTGGCTCATTAGCTGACCAGCTGGGGCTCTGAAGAGGCGAAGACTGGTGGCTGGAGTTGCTGGCTGGCCTATGTCAGAGCCTGTGACCTCCTGGGGGACAGGCAGGACTGAGTGGTGAGTCTCCTCCAGACAAGCAGCCTCATATGGAGTCAGTCAGCCATGTGATTGCTGTCGAGGGGCGGGCCCAGACACCACAGGCTCCAGCATTTATAAAGCACTGGGATAAGGAGAAGAGGAGGGTGAAGGGGAGCTGGTGGGGGTGAGGAACCCACCTGCTCCTGGGAGTATGTTAGGAGCCACTGGGGTGGCTCAGGATGCAGAATCTGGGGGCAGGGGGTGGTGTCTCCTGAGGGGCCCAGTGCATTAGAGTAACAGGTACCTTTTCTACTGCCCTGACCCCAGTGCTATAACTCTGCCCAAGTTCCTTAGTGCAATTGGGAGTGAGTTCCAGGGGCTAAGCTTCCCTAGCAGGCAGCCCAGCTCTCTGACAGTCCAGCCCCAGGACTTACGATCCCAGCACTTCCATGAAGATGAAGGTTTTCCTGATATTGGTGGTCTGTTTCTTCCAGGAACCACAGTCATCGTCCTCCTCCTCCTCCTTGCGCCCCATCCCCTCCAGTGTTGAAGCTGCCTGGGAAGCTTCGTGGGAGGGAGAGAAGCGAGACAAGGTCTGGTCAAACAAAGTGTTTCTCAAATAAGACAGAACAGGTTGCAAAAGAATCTGAAACACCCAGATCGTGATGTAATGGCCAGAAGGAAAGACTGAGAGCAGAACCTGGAAAAACGGCAAACATAAGAGCGTTCTCCCACTCGCTTTCTAAAATTGCGAGAGCAAATCCAGTGAATGGCTGCTCCGTATCTGCTTGCTAAATGCAATAGGGTGTAGATTGAGGATGGAAACCCGGTGGTGATCTGTGCACTAGTGAAGGTGCACGGCATAGAGACTGACATGGTATACCCAGTTCTCGGGCATCTGAGCTGAGTCAGGAACTTCCTGTGTTTCTTCAGGCTCTGGAGTCAGCCTGGCTCCTTCGTGCCATCAAAGCTCTGCCTTCTTCCCCATCTTCCTCCTACCTGCAGCAGCTCCTGTGAAGGAGCAGCGTGTTTCCCTTGCCACCCCCACAGCATGCACGTAAAGTGGATTGGATTGGAATGGGTGGATTTTTGTTAGTATCTGAATCAAAGCATGGCCTCCCTGTGTATCAGAGATCTGGGGCTGCACACATTTCGGTAGTGCCAGTGATGTTCCAGGGGCTAGATATGTGATGATGGACAAATTGGACTATGGCCTTCCTTCCTGGGGGAGCCAGGCAAAGGAAGTAGGCAACGCGCCAGCCAGCCAGCTCTCATGTGGATGGCTAAGTGACAAGAGACTTGGTGGGCAATGGGCACAAAGAAGGGTGTCTTCAGATGAGGCCAGTGGACGCGTTGTAAGCAGGCTGGACTTAGGTTGAGACTTGAAGCTGGCAAAGGAGTCAAACAAGCAAAAACTGCACAGAGCTGCTTCCCTACAGAAAAACAGAGCACGAGGTTCCCAAAGCAGGGACGCCAGGACGGCAGGGACGCCAGGACAGCAGGGTGCACAGCCACTGAGCGTCTGAGAGTGATGCGAGAGACACCGCTTCTGCCAACACCCTCCACCCCTTGAACCTGACAGAGAAGCAGGAAAATATGTCTAGTGGCTACTCCTTTTAGGCTGTGGCTCTGATCCCACTTCAAAACAAAAACAAATGCCCATAAAATCCCTGAGGTCCTTTAGAAGGCTGTGGAGATAGCACAGCCAATAAAATGCTTATCTTGAAAGCATGAGGACCTGAGTTTGATCTCTAGGAAAAGCTGAACATAGTGGCACACACTTGTAACTCCAGCCCTGGGGAGGTGGAGATGGGTGGATCTCTTAGCCTCACTGCTGGGCTGCCTGTTCTACTCAGTGAAGTCTCAGAAACAACAACAATACAACAACTGATAGCGTCTGAGGAATGACACCCGGGGCTGTCCTCTGGCCTTTACACACATGCATGTTCATGTGCGCTCACACATGCTTACATATGCACAAAACGTTTGTGCTTCTGCAACTTTGTGTCAGGTGAAGAGCACAGGTTTGGAACCTGGGTTCGAATCCTTTCTTTACATTAACTTCTTGGACTGTGTGGGGCAGGAGCTCCGAGGACGCTGCATAGGGTGGCAGCCTGAGTTTGATGCCTTTGCAGATTGCAAACTTCAAATCTCTCAGGATCTTTGGTATGTTGGACCCAGGCAGCCAGAGTAGGAAGGGGACAGTTGTACTTGAGCTTGTCCAGGACAGTATGTAAATCCTGTGGCTGGGCTAGCTAGTGTCCACTTCCTATTGAGTGGGCAGTCTTGAAGACGGCAGCAGCCAGGGTAAAGGGGTGCATGTCTAAACGTGCAGAATAGACAAGGTTGGTTTGCATGCTTCCCTTTGGGTTTCTCCCCTACACAGAACAGCAGGGCTGGAGTTTGCTCCGAGTGAGGGGCTAATGAAGAGCCTGAGCACGGGGACCTTAGCTGTGCACACCACTCCCCCTTCAGGACCTGTGGAGAATGACTGCCCGCTCTGCAGGAGGCTCCCAGGCCTCATTAGCTGATCTGTGCTCAATGTTCCTTCTTTCCCATTGCTCCTAAAAAGCTTTAAAAACATAGTATTCTTAGCTGAGGAGAAGCCAAACATCTTTCCGCCCACCCCTCCTCCCATATAACGAAGCCTAACAATTTAGCTTCATCATCTGTGTGGAACACTCAGGGCCCAGATCTGGACCCTACACCATCTAGGGCTGGGCTCCCACGATCCATGATGTCACAGAGACCTTCTGGAAGGAGGCCCAGGTCCAGGTGGGGTGGTCACAGGTAGGGAGGGAGGGGCTGCCCGCACCCCAGCTGGGTCATGCTGCTTTCTACTCCAGTCTCAACACCTCTTGTCCCCTGACTTCAGAGATGCCCTGAGCTCTGATATTGTTTGTTTGGTTTCCAAGGCACTCTGCCTCACACTATTTTCCATAACAGCTGCCGTTGGGTTTTATAGTTTTGAGGCTTAGGACCAATTTCACCTCCACAGAGACCTTCAAGAAGCATGCCCCATGTTGGCATGTGCGCCTGGTTTATGTCCCTCACTCCTCAACAAAGCGAGATAACTGTGAGGATTCTATACCAAAGATTCCTGGCAAAGAAAAATGACAATGTGCATATAAGATCATCTCTGAATCATGAAGTAACAACTTTTCATTCAGTGAGCATTTATTAAGTGCTTCCTGTACACCGAGGACTGACTACAGCTATTGATATGACGCAAGCCTTAGCTCTGCAAACACTTGTAATTTAGTTGGAAAGAGTGGATGCAGGTCTGCATCTATGTAACTAGACAGGCAATGTGCCTAAAGAACAAGCATTCCCAACATGTGGTGCCCATTACTGAGCCTGGTATGCACGGGAGGTCTAGTGAGCCTAAGCCCCTGGAGAGTAGGTTGGTTTCAGATAAAAGCTAGGCTTCAGATGGGTGTGAACGGTGGATGGGTTTAATTTTTGCCCTGCAGAGGGTGGCACCCCACTGAGGCCTTTGATATGGAGTCCTGTCTGAAGCACAGTGGGAGGCAGGCAAATGGTGGCAGAAAGCCAGGTTGCCTTGCTTCTTGTTGTCCTGGCATTGGAAGGAAACTAATGGGACACGAGTCCAGTCCCGCGTCTCTGGGATACCCTCCCTAAGTCAGGCCGCTTCTTCCCCAGTTCCCCTCTCCTACAATGCATTTGGTGTTTGGCCTGTTTTAGGTAATCATCCTCTCTAGAAATAACTCCAAAGAGATGAAGCCTTGGTCTTGCTGTAGTTTTGGTCTGGTCTTCTTGACTTCTTGGGGACCTTTAAGTTTCTAGCGAGGGAGGAGCCAGAGGGGACACTTCTTCCCAGAGGACATGCAGGACAACTCCAGCCCTGGTGTGTATGAGCCCTTCCTTTGCTTCTGGGACAGGTGTTCTAACCCACGTTGGCAGCCAGCCTGGCTGTTGATGAGATGTGGCTGAGAGATGCTTGGGCATGAGCCCAGCAGGCAGGAGGTCCCACAGTGGTGTTCCCAGGGGCTCACTATTCTCCCCTTCCCAGCTCACACCACACCCAGACAGAACTCTTTGGAAGATGTCCTCCTCACTGCCCTCAGTAAGCCCACATGTGTAGGATGCATCACAACCCACACTTTCTGACTCTTCCCTCCATTCCCTTGCTCCATGTGGCCTCCTCTCAGCTATTTACCATGCAAGGAGTCGGTGCTGCTTTGCTAGAGTCCTGGAATCAGTGTTGGAACCTGAAGGCATTCGATCCAAACCCATTCCCTCCACCCTACGGCCACAATGCAGGGATGACATGGTGCCTCTGAGCTGTCTTGAACACACCAGAAGGTCGAGGACAGGGTCAGATAATCTTTTGAGTGCCGTATCTGTGGTTCTAAATCTGCAGATAATGGCTCTCAGTTCCACCCACAGAGGAGACACGGCTGCACCTTCAGCACTCCCGCCTGGAGCTTCTCAGTGAGGCAAGTTGCCTCACTAGCTCTCGCTGACCCCAGGTGAATCAGGGTACCCCAAGATTCATTGGTGGCTGAGAGGTTGGGACACAGGTGACAGCCAGGAGAGTGGAGTTTCATCTGCAGAATGGGAATAGCTATCTCTAATCTAGTACTCAGTACTGCTATAAAGTCTCCCACATTAAGCAAGTGCTCTACCCTAGAACTCTACCCTCAGCCACCCTAAAGCTTCTTTGTTCTCCTTTCCTGGACTGTTGGAAGCATGGCATTGTGGGCCTGGGGGTGCTGGGAGGGGGTTATCAGTTGTGTCATCTTTAATAAGAATGTGGACAGAGCCACACATAGAGCAGACTATACTGGTCCAGAGGGTAAAACCTGGATGCTTTTCCTGACCTGGTACCACAGTTTCCAAAATTCTGACCTGTACCGGACTCTTTCGTCTTCTGGAATCTAGAGTCTGGATTCAGAACACACACTGCTCGTTCTCAGCCCTGTTACCAGCTCCACATGCCGATTTCTGCTCACTAAACAGCTGAAGGTTTTCAGTTGGCCTGCAGTTTGGTGTTCTGCAGCTGTGCAGCCCAAGGCAGATCATTACATACCTCTGAATTTTGACCTTTCTCCTTAGTGAAAAATGGAGACTAAACTAGCCGAGTCCCCGAAGTCTTGTGGATGTGAGTCCTGAGAGAAACTCCCGTGAAAAGATGGCTTTGCTGTGCTGTGGTTGCCTGTCTCCATCCACATCAGCTCCCAAAGGCTTTGAGGAAGACGACAGACGCTGCTGCAGTCTCTCCTAGCAGTCCCCACATTTCCTTCATGAGATGCTTTCTTAATGCCTGTTTAGCAGCAGGGACCTGGGGCTGCTCATGAGGAGCATGCATTGGCTCATGCAGGTGAGGCCATCTCCAATACTATTTTTACTTTTTCTTTTTGAGGAATACATGGAATTCCCAGCAGCCCATTGCCATCCATCACAGTCCTGCCCTTCCTGTGGTGTCACAGGTACACGGTGATATCTGTGCAGCTGGCACAAATTGTGTCTAGCTCAAAGGTTGCAACCCAGTGGCTCATCAGCCAGCAAGCTCCCAGAGCCTCCTGCTGGGGAGGAATACCTAGACCCACTCTGCTCGTTCTCAGCCCTCTTACCAGCTCCACATGCCAATTTCTGCTCACAAAACAGCTGAAGAAGGTTTTCAGTTGGTCTGCAGTTCATTTTAGAGGAAAACCCACAGTTCCACATTTAAGCTCAACTAAATCATCCTACTGCTTGACAAGTTAGCTCAGGGTTAGGAGTACACATCTTAGAGCAGATGCGAGAGCCCTCTCCATGGCTTGCCCTGGTGGCTGAGAGGTTGGGACACAGGTGACAGCCAGGAGAGTGGAGTTTCATCTGCAGAATGGGAATAGCTATCTCTAATCTAGTACTCAGTACTGCTATAAAGTCCAATGCAGCAAAGGGCATGTGCATCCTCTCCAGCACACATGGCGTACCCACAGTACGGCATGTGAGCTGAACACCAAGCATGGGAGAAGAGCAGGGGCAGTGAGTGATGTCTTATCTACTGGTAAACATCCCAGTAGGGATGGGCATGACAGATGTGGAGCTGCTCTCCCTGAGCCATCACTGCTCTCCCAGTCCTCTCATAATATGAGCATCCATCTCCCTGGGGTTCTGAAGGGCTAGAAGACAGACCACCTTCTTAAGGCACAGCCCTAAGTGTGAACTCCATATTCCACCTGGTCTTCAGCTGAGAAAGCAGGCATCTACCTCAACAGGGAGGAAAACAAGCTTGGGTATTGCCTCTCCACATGTCATGTGCTGTTGTCTCTTAGGAGTTAATGACCATCATCTGTGTGTCTTTGTGTCACACATTGACGGCTATGATGCCTAACATTCATGCATGAGGTGCCTCCTCTGTGCAGGCCCGGGACTCATTACTAATCAATGTCACAACCAGGCACTTTGCTGGGGTTCTCAGAGGGGATAGCAAGGATCCATATCGGAGAATTCCGAGGACAGACTGGCTGGACTCGGGATGCTGCATCGAGACTCCTGGAGTTACACACCTTCCCTCTGGGTACACAGCTTTGGTGCTCCCGGACTGGCTGTGCAGCCCTTCCCCAGTGCCACTCTCTGGCTGGCAGCCGCTTTGCACCAGCCCCCTTGCCGTTGACCATGGCGGCGTGCCTGCAGTTGTAGAGGCAGCCGCAGTCTTTGCTCAGACTCCTCCGCCGCTCCCCCTTCTCATTCATGCCACAGCTCATTCACTCCCTGGCTCTGGCATGCTGCTGCGGCTGGGTGCCGTCACTCGTCACTCACACGCACTCCGTGTGGCAATTTATTTCTGGCTGGGTGTGCGTGTGTATGGGGGAGAGGAAACAGAGAAGAGCCCTCCTCTTAGAGAGAGATGTTTTCTTTTCCTTCTAGCCAGAATTGCTCCCAGGCCTGGTAGAATAATGGGGCAAGGACGGAGCCCCTGGACATGGCGAGGCAGTCTGCAGGCATGATCCCTGTTGTGGATTCCCTGCACTTTTCAAAGTGACACCATTTTATAGCTGAGCTAGATACTGATGGATAACAGCGTTCAAGGAAAACAATGCCCTGAGTCAAGCAGATAGTACGTGACCATGTCAGTCTAGGAGCCCAGTTCTGAGGCTTCAACCAGTGTCCTTGTCAGTGTGCCACGGACCTGTTGCCTCTTTTCTGGAGGTGGCTGTTGGGATGTCACTCAACTCCCCCTTCCTCCTTATGATACTGTCATGCTGCATAGCACCTGACTTATTCCTGGGAGACACATGCTTCAGTGACCAGAAAAAGGCTGTCTCCTGTAGTGCTCAAACCCCTCGTTGTTGAAGCTGGGGCATCGTGTCTATTCCCTGAGCTGCTCCAGGCTCCAGCTTCAACCTGCACTTCCTCAGACCTCAGCCTTTTCCAAAGTTTTCCTCATCTCTCTAAACAGGATTCTTAAGCACACGTGCGTGCGTGCACACACACACACACACACACACACACACACACACACACACACACCCCACAGCAACATGAAATGGGTTCAAATGCTACCAGCACACAAAGGATGCCAGTGGTCACTTGCTTTATAGCAGGGAATCCCCTTATCCCTCTGAGTACCAAGTAGCTCCATCTATGTACTAACCGGGGAACCATCTAGCCCACTGCTGGGTGAATGAAAAGCCTATTCCCAGCTGTGAAGTGCGGCAGTATTAGCTATTACTAAGCACTTTGCACTCTGGTCTGTTTCAGATATGGGTCTCATCTTTGTCCCTGGTTTAGCTCAGATCCATAGGAATGATGGCTCCATTCTGCCTGTGGTCTGTGATCTGGAAAAGATTCCTTACCCGAGATGGAACCTGCTGGGCCCTCTTGACTCGACTCAGAGATTTTCCTCATGATCAGTTATCTGTTTCCAGAGCAGGAGGCTGGCTAGACTCACACTGCAGCTGGCCCTGCAGCCACCTCCACTAACCTCAGGGTTAATGTTGTGCGTCAAACTTACGTGGAGAGAGGGTGGGTGGTGAATCCAAACCTACCCTGAGCACCCCACAGAGCCATGCGAGGGAAGTTTAAGGACTCTGGGAGCAGATGAGCCCCTGGGGAAGGTGAAGGAGCTGGGTTATGACTGACAGATTTAGCAGGTTGTGCCTGTGTCCTGCATCTTAACGCAGCAGCCTTGGCCCTGGGGTGGGAAGCTGAGCCCTGCAGGGTCCCTGCAGCTGCAGGGCCTGAGGCCATCTTTTCCCTGGAGTATGAAGAACAGCCACAGGCTATTTGTAATGGCCTTTGTACCCACAAGCTATCCACCCCAACCAAGGATGCTGATGTGGGCGGGGTGAGCCTTCTTTTTTGATAGATGGGGTAGGTCCCAGAGGTGAAGGAATGAAAGATGAGCTGGAAGAGGGGTGCCAAGGAGCTGTCAGTCCTGATGCCCCCTGCATCCCCATTTCCCCCCAGCCAGGAGCTCTCTGAACTGGGCACAAAGCTCCTCTATTCCTGTCCCTGCCGGCAAGTACAGAAGGCTCCCCTGGGCCAGCCCTGGAGGAATGATCAGATGGCTCCCCAAAGAAGCACCTACCAGCCCCCATTCAGACTTCTCTTTCTTGGATGCTACAACTTACCCTTGAGACCACAAAAGCCAGGAGAGGATTGACAGGGGCTGAAAGGGAAGTGAGTCTTCAAACCCACTCTCCCTCCCAGTGCCCCACGCTTCTTGTTAAACAAGATAACCTCCCCAAAGCCCAGAGAAGAAGCAGGCTGTCTTACCCAGGGACTCACAAGAAAGGTGCTCCAGTCCGTGGTCTTGGCTGGCAAGCCTGCTCCTACAGGTCTGTGAGGATTAGCTGCCCCACTGCTTTAACAATAAACCCAATTAAAGGGGAGGAATGCAGGGGTTTTCTTTCCCAGGACGGTAACCAGGCAGCCTTAAAGGGGAGTAAAAGTAGCTACAGTGGCTTGTATCTATCCTCGCTTTCCTGGGCTCTGCTCTCCCTCCCTCCCAGGGAGCTGTACTAAAAAAATAAAAAATCGCTCAAAAGGAACCCTTTGATGCCCGAGTGGCTGTTTACACACTGTGCAATTGTGGTCACAGTTGTGTTAAATTTTGTCTTCATTCATGTATGTAAGAACAGAAAACAGAAATGCACAATCAAGTTGTGGATTTCCCCTGCAGTGTAAACAGAAAAGCAGAGAAGCTATCTGGGACTGCCTGACTCGGTTTCCACTTTACACAGCAGTTGCTGATGAGGTGGTCTAAAAGCCCCTCCCCAGTCCTGCAATGGTTTGTATATTGGCTGACAAGCAGTAACCCTCCGTTAACCTGTCATTTTTGTCTCTTATGGAGTAGAGAGAGAAGCCCTGGGCTTGGCTGGTTCTATCCTGATCTCTGATGCCACTCCTCTCCTCTAGACCTCCAACCTCCATTCTGTCCCCAGTCTTAACCTTTGAGACCTGGAAGTGCTCTGTTCTCTCAGGTCCTTCCTCTTCCCCTCTCTGCCCTGGCCCTTGACCAGTGTTCTTTTCCCTACACAGGTTCCTCAGGCCTGACTTCTGCATCTTGCTTTCTCCTTCTCTGATCTCTCAATGCTACCCACCCATGACTCCTGTAGCCGCTTTCTTGAGGAACCCTCCCCTGAATGTGGCCATGTTCTATCTACCTTCAACCCCACTTTTCTCCTGGAGTTTTCCCAGGGAGGTTAGTGGCTCCTGTCTTCCCAATGTTCTTCAGAAACCCTTCTTGTCTGTGCTACCCCCAAATCCTGTTAGGCCCTAGACAATTTCATGTGTTCTTATGAATTAGCTTTTAAGTCATCCCTTCTATTTGTATCGCATTGTGGTCTTGGAAAAAAAATAACATTTCCATGGATCTACATTAGGAGCCATATTAAAAGCATCATCCCTCTTCCCTTGGGCCTGACCTTGCTTTCTAGGGGTGGCCACTTTTGTTAGTTCTTGTGCATGCCTGTGGTGTTTGCTTTCATGGATGCAAACAAATAGAACACATATGTGTCTCCTTGTTATGCCTTCTGATGTCTCCTGTTCTAGTCTGTTTTCTGTCTCTGTGATAGATGCTACGACCAAAAGCAACCTGGGGGTGGTGGTGGGGTAGGGTGGTGGTGGTGGTGGTGGTGGTGGTGGTGGTGGTGGTGGTGGTAGTTTATTTGGATGACACAGTCCTGATTACAGTCCATCACTGAGGAAAGTAAAAGCAGGAACGTAAACAGGAACTGAAGCAGAGACCTGAAGGAATGCTGCTTACTGGCTTGCTCCGCCTGCTTTCTTATATAACCCAGGACTGCTCAAATGCCAACCCAGAGGTGGCTCTACCCTCAATGGGCTGAGCCCTCTGGTATTTATCATTAACTGAGAAAATGCCCTCCAGACACGCCCACAGGGCAATCTGCTAGAGGCAACTCTAACTGAGATTCCCTCTCCCCAAGCGACTGTAGTTTGTGTCAAGTTGATGAAAGCTAATCAGTATCCATCTCTGCAATGTTATTCCAGACTGTCCTGTTCTGTGTCTTGCTTTCTTCTCTGTCCTGGACATTTTGGGGATAGGGTCAGGACAAGTCCTCCACAGGCACTGGTTGAGAAGTTGCAAGAGGCAGATGTGTGGGCTGACTTCCTGAGTCTTCCAAGGACTGGATGTGTGGCCTTGGCCAGTGAATCCCTTCCACCTTACTTTCCTGTCCGTCCTGTGGTGCATTCACTGGCCTTGCTTCCTGCAATAGTGAGGTGAAGGGAGACAGAAGTCCCTGACCATTACCTGGTCAGCTCTTAGCAATGCTAGCTGTGATCACTGTCTTTGGGCTCCAGTCTGAACACCTATGTCTCCACCCAAGTTCCTGCCTTGAAACCTAATCCCCAATGTGAGGATGTTCAGGGCCTTTGAGTGGTGACTAGGTCTCAGGAATGGAGCCTCCCAGCCTCCAGAACCAAGAAATACAGTTCTGTCATTTATAAGCCACCCAGTTTATAGTATTTTGTTATAACAGCCTTAACAGACTAAGCCACTTTCCCAATCCAGCTTCCATTCTTCTCAGAATTTTCTTAATAAAAATTAATAAAAGGTATAGCTTCTCAAAAAAAAAAATCCACAGCTGGGTGGTGGTGGTGCAGGACTTTAATCCCAGCAGAGGCAGGAGGATCTTTGTGAGTTCAAGGTCAGGCAGGACTGTTGTATTGAGAAACCTTCTCCCAGACCCTCCCCCCAAAAGACACAGTTTCTACTTCAAAATTTGCCTATAGAATGAAATCGGGGCACATAGGACAATGTGAAGGCATTCTGAGATCCAGTACAAACTGGCTCCTGTGGAATGTTCTCTTCTCACCCATCTGCTGCTTCAGCCACACCACAGACACTGGTTTCTGGCATTTCACTTACTGTACACCTTCAGGCTTGTCTTGTCTTGGTTCATTCGCATGGAATACTCCCCCACCCCCAGTCTCTGCCTGCGGGTATGCGTCATATTAAAAGACCCACATTACTTTTCCTGATAAAATACCCATGTAAAGCAACTGAAGAGAGAGTTTACTTTGGCTTCTAGTTTGAGAGTATAAACCATCATGGCAGGGAAATCACAGCCAGCAGAAAGGTCACATTCATTTACAGTTAAGATAGACAGTGATGGATGCTTGTGATCAGCCCACTTTCTCCCTTTTATACAGGATCTTAGTCTAGGGAATGGTGCCACCCACAGTGGGCAGGTTTTCCCACCTTAACATAATAAAGATAATTCCCCCACATGCATGCACAGAGGCCCATATAGAGATGATTCTAGACTTCATTAGGTTGACAGTTAAGATTGGCCATCACACACATGAAACACTATCTCATCTAGAAGGCTGCAGTTTCTTTCCTTGAATACATTTCTCCGAGCTATAAGCCATTCCCCAAACTCTTTGTCTTCCACACCCCTTTATCTACTTACTCTTTCTCTTGTCTAGACATCTCCATTCCCATTTCTCTTCCCTTTTTGAACTCAGTGCTTGATGAGGGCAGAGACGACCTGGATTTTCTGTTCTCATCCCAGATATCTCACTGGCTCTGGGAATGTTTCTGGGACCCATAGAAAGACTTTGGTATCAGCTATTTTCTGTTGTTGTGATAAAACATCATGACCAACAGCAATGTATGGAAGAAGGAATTTATTTGGGCTTACAGTTCCGGAGAAATGAGTCCATCGTGGCAGAGAAACATGACAGCAAGTCCCAGGCATGGCAGCTGGATCAGGAAACTGAGAACCCATCAACTCAGCCACAAGGACAAAGCAGAAAGAATAAATGAGAAATGGGGTGAGGGACTATAAGTCTCAGAGCCCAGCTCCTGTGTCATACTTCCTCCAGCAAGGCCACACCTCCTAAACCTCTCCAAACACAGCCAACTGCCTGGAACCAAGTGTTCCAATATCTGAACCTATGGGGTACATTCTCATTCAAACAACAACAGCCTCTGGGTAGTTACAAGTAAATAAGATACAGTCAGAGGTGAAGTGTGCATTTCCTACTGTTGCCAAGGACAATAGCTTGTCACTGTTGCTGACCTAGTCTCCCACTCAACACCTAATTCTCTAAATGGGGCACCAGACAAACCCGTTGGGGCCTTTGGAGCTGGGGAGAGCTGAGCAGTACCTGTGGGCATTGGTGTAGGTCACAGAGTTTGTCTCCACAGCTACAGCAGCCCCTCTGAAGTCTTTCCCAGGACACACATATAAACTCAACCATAAATATTTATTACATGCTGACTTTGAACTGGCACTGGGGATATGAAACTGGACTTGATCCCATACTCACAGAATTTCTACTGCCCTAGCATGTGGCTAGTCAGATTTGAGTTTTTAAGAGTCTGGACTAATGGGTGAGACAGTTGATTGGCTTGATCTGTTTGGGAGGCATCCAGGCAGTGGGACCGGGTCCTGTGCTCATTGCATGAGTTGGCTGTTTGAAACCTGGGGCCTATGCAGGATCGCTTGGCTCGGCCTGGGAGGAGGGGACTGGACCTACCTGGACTGAGTCTACCAGGTTGATCTCAGTCTGCGGGGGAGGCTTTGCCCTGGAGGAGG